ACCCACTGCCTTACTGCGCTCACATCTACAGTTTTGTCTCCAGAAATATTCAGCAATCATCTGTGAATGTCAATGGATGCAACTTTTTCCACATGGAGGAATTCAGCAACACGCCTTTGCTTCATGCGCACTTCTAAGTCAGACACCATTTTGTCAGATTGCCCCTCCGCTGCCATTTCTCGCACAGCAACAAAGTGTGACAGAATATTGCTGGGAAAGTTCAACCTCTACTGCCATACCACCACCATCCAACTCTGACACCATGGGCCAACACAATAAAAATAGGAGGCATTATTTTTGGAGCAGCCCTCATACAGCCTTGTTTTAAGCCATGGCATTTTTGGCTTTGAACAGAGTTTTGAGAAGGTATAATTTAATCACTTTACGCTCATTTTAAAAGAGCAAATTCTGTGAAGTAAAATGGCAATTGTTTTCTAAGTATTTTTATTTTTACACTGTGTATTAGGTTAGAAATAGATGATTATGAGTGTACTGTAAATACATGACAATGTTACCTGAATGCATGACAGTAAGAGATTCTTACGTGCACGTAACAGCCTGTAAGGAAAAAATGCCAAGACCATTGAATATCGTCTTTCCAAGTTACTGCTACAGTCTTGAAGCACAATCTCCTGTGGATTGTTGCTGATGACACAGCACAGCAAGATAGTTGGAGGTTCACACACCTACTATGCACTAGCTACCATCTCAAAACACGCTGCGTTCCTCTAAAAATAAGAAAACTATCTACTCAGCAGCCATAGGGACAATCTTAAAGCAGAAGAGATGGTCACCTGCTCTGGCTTGAACAGCAAAACAGGCTGAAAACCTGTAAGCTTGAAATAATAAAAATTATATAATTCTGTGAATGACTTCTAGGTATTTCCTATAGAAGAGTAATTAAAATGGCAAGTCAGTGACCAGAGGGATGGATACATAAGGTTCCTTGATTCAGTGGGGGGAAAACAATTCCAGACTTCTGCAGGGCTGTTCTGCCACACCTGCCCCCATGCCTTGCGTCTCTGGACACCTGAAGTCAAGTCTCAAACATGTAACAAAACCACCACCTCTGAACTACTGCTACTGTTGATGAATTAATAATACTAAGTATATTAAAAGACAGTTGTTTGTAAGGGTATTATGCTGTTGCTGCAGAGAGAGAGCAGGCATCTGAGAGACAAGCTGCAAATTGTTTTGGTGGTGGACAGGCAGGTGCTGCTTCCTGCTGCAGTGCCTCCTGCCATTTAGCGAGGATGTTCTCTCTTTCTCTGTGAATCAGAAGCACTCCTGGTTATTTAAGATGCATTAAAAACCTGGGTTTCTCTGGAGGTGAATGTTCTTCCAGGTTGGAATGGGAGTCCTTCGAGTTCTGCTACGTCTGAACAAAACAACTTCATGCAAGAAAATCTGCAGGATTTACAATTTTTTCACAGTAGATAAAGCTGCACTGCAAAAATTTAATTAGGAGAATTCTGCACTTTGAACAAGCTTAATCCTTACACTGCTGTACAGGTACATACAGAAAGTGGAATTAAGTGACTATAGCCACAGTAACAAATTACTCTTGGATACATCAGAGTCATAAGACAGCTTTAGAGGAAAGTAACTTTAAATTACATTGTTATCATCTGTGCATCATCTGCACTTGTGTGCAGGTAAAGTGAGGGTGAAACATACACATCAATAATCAAATACATATCGAGATATGTTAAACAGGGATACCAAATGAAAAAAGTTGAAGCCCCTTAGAGGAAATAATTTCACCAATCAGAAGAAAAACAATTCCTAAATTGTTTTAATAAACTATGTTAAGAAAGGGACAGAACAGGTCACTGTAAGCTTTTTGCCTCTTCCCCTCACACAATGGGACCTAGCCAGTGGCTGTATTTGTCCATCTTAATACAGAAGCATTTTAATTATGCCACACAGACTGACGGATGTGCTGGAACATGGAAACAGCAACTGATATGCAGCAGCATGTCTATGAAAAATCCAAAACTGCCATTTATTTTTGGAACTCTTGCCTGTCATTTTAAGCTTAAATCACAGAGTGACTGACATGTAGATAATTTAAGCTGCATGATTTCTAAAGCACAGTTGAAACCTACACGAAAATAAACCAACTAAATTCAAGAGGTTATAGCAGAAAATACTTTAATTTGTATCTCATAGATTCAAATGTAGCAAAGAAGTGTTCAGATCTCAGTAAGCAGTTCTAACATTGATTTCAATAAATATTACATTTTAATAGGCAAGATAAATGGAGAGATTGTGAAGTGATGAGTTGCTGATTGCTAATTTATAAACATAAGCATCTAGATTATTTACAACATAATACAGATCATTTCCCAGAAAAGCACAGAGCAAGGTCAGATAAAGACCAATCATCAAAACACAACTCAAAGTGTGGCACAGCATTTCATGCATATACAATGACATAACAAATCACCAGCTGAAGTAGGAGAACATTATTCCAGCTTAAGTCTGTATATTTTACTTTTCAAACTCTGTATTCTCACCTTCTTCCTCTGGCACTTAGGAGCAAGTTTGTTCAGTGACAAACATTTTAGCTATGCTGTTTGCATCAAGTCTTTTAACATTTCGCTTAAGTCTTCATGGCTTTGTCTTCTTGCTACCTACATGATTACAATCATTTTGTCATTTGTACAGGGAAATGTAATTTTAATCTGAAATGAATGGCAGACAACGTTGACAAGCTGATCTCCAATAAGGAGCTAGAATTCAAAATAGTTCACAGCTCGTGGACAGTGTATCTAACCTTGGTTTTTTGTATAAAAACAGATCTGTAAATTTCTAAAATTTAAGTTCACGTATAAAGAACTTTGTCATCCAACTCACAGAGCAAAACCTCATAGGCAGCATAGTCAAAGACTTGACATCAAATACGGTAAAAAAAAAAAAATGACAGGAAAATGGTTTGAACTGCATTAAACCTTCAAATGCAACCAAATCTCCCTATACATAGAATTACCTTGTTCAGCTGCACTCATGTTCTCATGACACAAAAGAAAAAAAGAGACCTTATGTCCTTACCCTAAGGACCCTGCCTGGATTGTACCAAGAGCTCAATCCTTACACTGCGGTATACTTACATACAGAAAATGGAATTATAGGTGACTATAACCACAGTAACAAATTACTCTGGGATACATCAGAGTTATAAGACAGCTTAAGGAGCAGGTATGCAAGATCTGTACATCTGAATCTCTCACCTGTCCCGTAAGGAATTACATGATGCCAGACTGGTGCTGCTTCAGTGTCCACTGATTTTGGCCAGGCACAGATGGAAGAACAAAAACAAGAAGTTGAATCCCTAGAAGGTTGGAAGCAATTCGCTTTCCCCAAAAAGCAAAGTAGGGGAAAAAAAAAAGGAAGAAACAATTTTGGGGCAACACAGACAACAATTTGTTTTTCCATCAGATAATCCCACCTAAAGTTCTTTAGACACTGCAGTATATAACAGCAGTTTAATCTTAGCTATACAAGATTTTTCACTTGAGTGAACCTGCAGGTTTCCAGCCCTTGCTGGTCAATCCAAAAGGGGAGGAATTAACGACCAACTGAAGAAAAAACAACATACACAATAAAAAGACTTGAATACTCAGCATATAACTTACTTGATCAAACACAGCTATACACATTTGAGATGGTTATCCGAATTTTTAAGTTAATGGAGAAAGCAAACTCTGAGGTGCAAGTTATTGAATCCCAGAGTATGTCAAACCAACCTTGGAAAAGGCCAGGTGAGTCCACCTTGACATCACCTGCTCTCCTCCACTAACCAGAAAGGGAGCCTGTGGTGACTTGCTCAGACAGGTGCTCACAAGCAAAAGAGGCTGTTGAGTTAGCATTAGCATTCTCTAACACCACGTTAATTTATTTACTGGCTTAAACAGGAAATAAGGACTGGAAACCAATTGTCAATTTGTGCAGCTATCACCAATTTTTTTATTTTTTTAAATTATTTCACTTAGCTTTCCCCAGTTTGACTCAAAAGGGCTTTGTTTCTCAGGAAGCAATACCTCCCTAACAAGGAATGTCAACAGATCTCCAACATTTCCAGATGACACAAGTTAGAGTCTAGTCTGGAAACAAAGACAGAGCATATTCCAGCTTTCAGGAATATTTCTTCTGTAAAGGATTATGTTACAGAAGCCAGTATCACTACATTAAGTAATATCAACAGGTCACTAAATATCCAGTAGGGTCAAAAATGTTTAAGAGCACTTTGTTTCAAGAAGATTCAAAAGAAGAGATTTATCAACACAATACCAGCACTTCCTACATTCAGAATTCCTAACTTCATTCTTTAGCACAACTGTTTTAAAAAATTCATTTTAAATTTAAACATTTAGTTGCTAATCATCAGTAGTGCTGTTCTGAATTCTGTTTTGGACAATGATAAATTGCCATTGACATTTGTGGACAATGATACACAAGTAATTTCTCATTTTATGAAACTCACATTATTAACATACCCGTTTTATTATGCTGAATATCCTTTAAAGAAGGTACAGTTAGGGATTGCATAGGTACAGTATGCAGTATTAATGCCAGTGTGATTACGAATTCTAAAAAGCAATTTTTTTCTTAAAGTGACTATAAAAAACAAGTTCCTCCTTTTTGATCTCCTAACATCATTAAAATATAACCCATTACAAGCAAATCCATTATCCGTGCTCAGAGAGCAAAATGTGCTGCTTCAGTATCTTACACATTAAAAAGGACAACCTTGGAAACTGAACTGGAACAAACCAGAAAATAAAATGGGCTAGACACAAATTTGATTGAAAAAACTTCCCAGCTAGCAATGCTCCACTAATTCTCTTCTCCCCATTCCCTAGCCCTGATCCCTGAAGCAAATGCAGGCTGCCAAAGGGCTGCAGAAGAGTCACAACTGTACTGTGTAAGAGAGAAGGTGGTTATTTTAAAGGAAGTAAGAACTTCTGAAAAGCAGCATGTAAGGGAAAAAAAAAACAACAAAAAACTTTGATTTCAGCATGATGTAAAGGAATTGGTACAAAGTAAAATTTTCTGCTTGGTAAAATTAAGTTTCATATTATTGTAAGAAAACAGGACTCAGCAAGAGCCTTATTTCTTTTTCTGGTTTACTTCTAGATAGCTAGAATTGGCATACCCAGTCCTCAGAACATACTGATGCTCAGCACTTGGGTGAGGTGAGGGGTGAACCATCTCTTGCAGGACAAGCCAAGTCAGGATTGAGGTACATATGTTTTCATATAAAACAACTTTCTCAGAAAGACAAGAAGATGAAGAAAACTTATGTTGTATCAGTATGATAGAACTGTGAGCAGAGAACTTAAGATAAAACAGATCAGCATAATTTACACATTTAAAAACTATATACTTCATTCATAAATATCTCTTCTAATTAATAACCATTCGTAGTTTAAACATAAATATTCAAGTTGGTATTTGATTTTCCTTTTTAATCAGTTCATGAGAGTCCTGTAAGGATCAGTTCCTTCTGCTCAATGCAGTCACATAAATGGTCTTCACTAAGAGGCTGCACAAAGGCCTTCATTACCTTGTTTGCTGTAGTAAAATTTTAAAATTCTGCAGCTCTTTTATACTTGTGGAAAGCCTGCAAAACAAAAACCCCCAAAGTGGTAGTAAGTAAACCGTGCAAAGAGAAGTGCAAATTTTGACCTTTCATGGGGACTTGTTTTTTCTAATTTAAAACAACAAAAATCAACTCTGGAAGACAGTTGTGCTTTTTAATACTTGTTACTACTTTCTCACAGAAGATTACTATCTGGCTCCATCAACATTCATATTGCAGGGATTAAAATTTACATGCTATATATGTTAAATATCTAATCACGTGTAATAATGTTTATCCTATTTTAAACAATAACTGATCATTACATTCAAGATCAGAAGCACCAGCATGATGAAAGACACAAGCTTTATGAATCTTTTAAAGCCATTAGGAAGTTATATATTGTAACTCAAACACACAATGTTTGCTATATCATGAATTAATCAGAATGGAAGTTTTAGTAAAAACACCTACATCAAACTCCAAATCCAAAAGCCTAAGGGCTAAATGATAGCACTGAAAAAAATCATGTGTTTTTCTTCCTTCTTACATATGCATATTTAAAAGAGAAATACAAACTGTTCTTCTGTAGTTAGAATATAAGAAGCAGGAGATGTATCCAAAATTTAATGCTTAAAGCCATTTAAGAGATTTATAGAATAAATGAGATTTGAGATAGAGATGAATTACACACAACACAGAATGATGACCAAGGCTAATAATCAGTGCCTCACAAACTCCATTTGATGGCACAGAGTTATTAGTGATAAGCTGTTTAGCTTTTAAAAGTCATAGTTGCATGCACAAGTCTTTTCCACAGACCGTGAGTGCTGACACTGAAGTTTTACTGGTGTGTATTTTTTATCTGGTTGGTTTTTTTTTTTTTGCTCTACACAAATTACGAAAATCTTACCTTCCAAAGGCATTTACTAGAGCAACTATTTCTTGACGTGTTAGTTGAAAACCTTTTGATGGGCTATTCTCAGGAAGGTTCTGTATTTCTTTCTCAGAAAATAAAATCTTCAGAGCAGTTCCTAAGCCTTGCGTCTACGAGAAAAAACTCAATATTTTAGTGTCAATAAAGTCAGTGGGTAAGGTCACTTCTTCTAACTCTCAGGAAACAAACAGAAAAGCTTTAAGCAAAATAAACATAAAAATACTAACCCATGCAAACTGTAGTACTGATTTAGAAGCCGATACTCCTTCAACCCAAGTAACTGCACACAAACCAAGACGATAATGCAAACACATGCCATCAGTTCACCAAGTTAGTTCACTTAAGAATATGTTTCCTCAGGTATACTTACTCTAAACCCTCATGTTTTTTATCTCTTCCTTTCCCATTTCTTTTTCTTCTCAGCCAGACCAGATACATATGAAAGCATGACTGTTCCAACACCTCCAGCTCCCTCCCTGCTACAGTACAGATGCCTCAGGAGCTGTGGATCAGATCCCTGCTTTCCTTCTCTCCTCCCCCTACCAAGTCAAACTACATTTTTAGTATGAGGTGTCACAACACTTCTGCTTTCTCCATCTCCAGTCCCAGTGGAAGACATTGCAGTTTCAGTTTCAACCCCTATTTTGTATACAGAAATAGACCAGAAAAAGCTATTCTTATTCCCCGTTTTAATCAAGATGGGGAAGCAACCACTGGATTTTGATATACTGGTTCAAGCTGGGTGCAAGACAATTTTATAGGTCAGGAAAACTGGCCCTAGTTCATTTAGCATAAGAAAAGGCAATAATAGATCAGAAGTATGAATGAGTACAGAGTAGGCAGAACTCCATAAATTCAGCAGAGGCTACTACATTTTTGCTGCTATGAATTTATTCAAAATTTTAACTCTGATAAGCTTAATGCTGTTGTCAGTCTGGATTTAATGTTAGCATTAAGGGTCAAAATCTTGCTCTCAATAAATTCTCCAGAACCCAAGACTATTTTTCAACTCTTGGCTTTACTGCACGCCTCTTGCAGCATTTTATAATTGTAAAAATCTGAATCACTTCATTTTTTCCACTTATGCTTCGATTTGTGGAGCTAAATCTCATTAAGCAAAAGTGCACTATTTCCAGAAAGGCTTCCCACTGCTGATTCCACAAGACTCATCTGCTAACTGAATACTCAAAATACTAACTGGAAATAAGACTTGGTCTTGGGGTTATCTGCTCTAAACACTTTCTTCCCCAAAGAATATAAGCTACGTCTTCTAGTAAAAAGAACCACCACTGAGTGAACAAAATTAAACAAAGCATACCAGTTTAACTGTTAAAAAGCAAACTAAACATAAGTCTATTTTTAATACATACGTAAGGATATCAAAGACAAAACAATACCTGCAGTTTGCCCCACAGCCTGCATTTATCACATCCAACACAATCCATTATGCGGGATATGTTTTTGAAATGCAATCTGAATTCTTCCTAGCAATTAGAAACAAACAACAACAAAAAAAAACGTTTAGCTTAAATTGCCTCTTAGCTTTAGCAAAATTCACTTAGTACCACTAGAATATCAATTTCCTTTTAATCAAATTGAATGAAACCACTACCATCTGGGGTCAGACTATAATACAGATTCACATAAACCCAGAATCTTGTTTCCAAGCCGTTGCTAATTCTTGATGACTTGAAAAGCAGGACATGCAGAATAACACTTGTGTTATACAGTTTCCAGAAACTTGTTCAAAATTTTGAGCTTCAACTACTTACCTGTTCCTCTATGTAATTTTAATTCAGTTGTTCAAATCCTTTTTGAACCAACCTACATACCCAACAAAGCAGCCAAACAAGTGCCGATTCACAAAAGACATTTCCCAACCAAAACTATGGGCAGACAGCTGCTTTGCAGTTTCAGAGTGAAAGCAAATACAATACAGAATTGATTAATGATTAATTAATTATCTAATTATCTAATTCAGATTATCCAAATAAAATATTTCAGATCAGAAAAGAAACACTGGCTGGGCTGATAAATTACTGGCACCTTTCAAATAGCGTTCTTACTAGTGTGGATGAAATTCTGTATAATACTGATTTCAATAGTAGTAGGTATCAGTAAGTATTCAAACATATTTACTGCAATGAAGCACAGACCAGTTGTGTAATGAATGTAGTGCACACCAATCTGAACAACAGTCTAGTAGCACTGGCTGTTACTACACAGTAACAGCATTCACAGTAGGATCTTGCACCCCAGAACAATGCCTTCCTAATGTTAAATTCATATTCTATTTCATTGAATTGTGCTTTATATGTGTCATGGGTACTTTAAGCAAATGCCTGTTCCTGGAGGGGTGGGGAGTGTCCTATGTGGAAGTGAATATTTTAGATGTTAATCAGAAAAGTAGCTTCACCTTCAATGACTTGGCTCCTTTTTTATCTCCAGCAAACATGGACTTCTCATCAAAGTGCATATGGAAGGACCTAAAAAAGACAGAATGGAAAAAAAAAAACAAAAAACACAAACGTGGCATGAACTACAGCATAGCTCAAGCTTGCACAGCAGCTGTTACAGAGTAAACACTCTGACTTGCTAGTTGCTTCAGATCAAAAATTTCTCCTAAGTTTCAAATCACTGTTCTTCAAAAGCATACTGTTATCAGATGTTTTGCTATTCAATCACTATATCCTGAAACCTGTTACAGTTTTGCTGAGAATTCTTTTCATTTCCATTGATCAAGACTTTTTAAATATACATCAGGAATGCCTTAATATTTGGCCTTCCAGTTGTGTAAACTTCATATTTGACATCTGAACACATCCTAAACACCTAGCGTGACTGAAGCCACGCATGAAGCATGCAACTGATTGCAAAAAAAGATGAGTGTAGGAATTGGACTGAAAAGCCTTACAGAGCAAACATGCTTTCTTCTGTTAAGTCTATGATAAAAGCTGGATTACTCACTGGATCATTAATTAAAATAACATACGTACTATTTTCTTATTCAAAAAAGATCATGTATTTTACACTGGGGTGTAAAGCCTGGGGTGTTATTTTTTTTTTTCCTCTTTTTTTTTGTTTTTATTTAAAAATATAAGTATTCAAGCCTAGGAAATATTTTTTCTTTCATTACTTTACTTCCTCATGCTACTCCTCCCTCTCCTACTCAAAAATGAATTTACTCTCATTCTCACTTGAGAATATAACTGAGAGTTTCAAACTATTGAAAACAACAACAAAAAACCCCTAACACCTTTACGCCTTACTTTGTATCCCTGAAGATTTCTAGTAAGAGAGCTTTAGATTCAGCATCCTCATGGCCATTTCCAGTGTAAAGGTCCACAACGGAACGCTCAAAGTATGGTGCAACCTTTGACAAAGCCCGCAGCTCTATCAAATAAAGGAAATACAAGTTTTTCAGCCTTCTTGGTCCTTCTCCCTTCGTTTCAATGGGATCAAAACGACGAGTGAACTCTTTCACATTTGGTCCCCAGCGAGGTTTCCCCCAGGTTTCTACACAAGAAATAAAGTGGAGGGGGAGGAGGTTACAAGCATGTATTTGGGAAAAAGCTTTTTAGGTAAGAACCAAACAAAACTTAGGAAAAAAAACCCACAAATATGCATTTCAGATAATATAGTGTTTCGTTCAGCAGTTTTACCTCAACTCAAATTACCTTCAAGAAGATAATTGGCACACAGGTGTAAATTAATGCTAGCATGAAGACCGGAAATAAGTTTATAAAACACCCTTTTCTCAAGGCAAAGACCTGTTGAGGAAAACAGAAAAGAGACAAGCAAACCTCAGCCTAGGTACTTGACACAATGCATTAAAATTAACCTTGACATTTCACCGATACAAGTCTGCACCATTTAACTGTTACAATTACAGTACCTCATCATTAATTTCAGCAATATGTTTTGGAAGCTATTATATTCATAGTAAAAATAAAATATACTCTTATTTTTTACATGAAGTATCACCAAGAATAAAGTTTGACATTTCTTAGTTGGTTTTTCAGTGTTTTAATAAATACAGTCCAATAAGCATCTAACAAATTGCTACACAAAAGTAAAATTGTTTACGCAACGGACTTAAAATAGTCTTGAATTTTGACTATCTGGAAACCAGAACTCGAGTGTGACCTATCCTAGTTATAATTAAAGCTATCATTATTTTAGAGTAGTGTTCTTACAAAAACATCAAAAATCCAGAAAGCCCTATGGCACTGGAAAACAGCCAAAAATGCTTCTTCCCAGCTGTACTTTAAATTCACTGAAGATTTAAGCACACTGAGCAAAGCCCTAAAAACATGACTTTGATGAATAAAGGCTTTCACAGCATAAAAAGAAATGTAGTGGAAATGGGTGGCCAAAATATAATTTGTATGTAGAAACTGCTTTGAAATACAGCTTACCAAGAGAGAGAGACTACATTTAGAATTTAGGGGTTTGCCTCCTTCATAAATATATGTTTGGGTGATTCCCCTGCCACTCCAGTTTCTACAAACAGAAGAAGGAAGAGCTGATGGGGAAGCCTGTGAGACTGAGATACAGCCTCATTTACAGCCAGCATATTTTAACAAGCATGTGAACATGTGCTTTTCTACAATAGAACCGATGAAAGCTTTCCAGTAATAGAAGATTCCTGAAAGGTATAATGAACTAAGTTGCAAACGAATACATCCAATTCATTTACTTTTTTTTCCACAGCCTACAAAACAGGATTTTGATTTCTACTACTGTAATAATTTCATTTAAATATAAACAAATTGTTATACGTTCTGAGAAGATCTCTTATGCATATGTATTAGCCATAGAACCATTAAAAGCTTTAACACTTTTAAAAGCAGTTTTAAAATACAACTTACAACATTATTAGCATGTGCAAGGATGCATTTTTGTCTAAAAGAGCTGAAAACTCAGTAACTTGTAAAGTGAACTTCTTTGTAAAAGATTAAATGTTAAAGAGCTTAAGGAATTCATTAGCTAAATGAAGAGAAACTTTTTAAATACCCTCAAGGAAGAAAAACGTTATCTGAATAACACTCAAGTTCTGCACAATTTATTAGTAAGTTTAACCTATGAAAAACATTTGGAGAGAAGAAAAAGTGAATTTCTTACTAGTGAATTTCAATTATATTAATCCATCTGAAAGGACTTACCTTCTAGCCATGTGTAGAAAGATTCTCCTGTAATGTTAGAAAACACTATTAAAATAAAGAACATTCATTTTCATCACTTAAGCACCTTTATATTACTGCGTGCACTAACATTAGCTGCCATCTGGACGTAAAACTAAACAACTTAGCTACTGAAGCAAGAACAGGCACTGACATGGTTGAACTTTGAAAACAGTTAAAATCTGTTGAGGTCAGAACAGGACAAATACAAGAATAAACATGGCTAAGCTACTAGCAAAGTTTATGAGTACACTTGATTAAATGCACTAGTGGCTACAGCGTGATAGGAAAAGAATAACCGAGAAAAGAGGCGTATCTGTGGAAAGACATTTCATGTACATTTCCTGCAACCATCACTGTTACATTTCACAGCAATCGCTTGTGTAACAACTGTTTTCAAAAGCAAATAAACTACTGCATCCTCAATTCTAACAGCAAACTTCAGGTTTGAAGAATGACCCAGGATTCTAAACTAAACACTGCCCAGGTACATCAGTTCTTTACTGGATGTGCTCTTAGATTCCAAACTCACAAATACTTCATGCTTATACTAAGTTTCACGTGGGTACCCATTCTGCACTGCACAGTGTTTCACACAATCAGCAACCAAAAAAAGTGAATTCCTGTACTCAGATCCAAACAAAGAAATACTGAAGACAAAGGAATGCCTTCTAATACAGAAATCCATCCAATCAATTTCTGGTTAACTTTGTTAGTAACTGCACAAGCCCTAAAATCTCTCAATTTAAAGATCTGCTGAGGAAAAACAGCTAAAAAATTTAAGTGATCAGCACAGAAAGCAACTCTACGCTAATTGATCATAAACATCAAGATAGCGCTTTAAAGCAGTATTAGCTTTGCTTATGTATGAAATGAACACAATTCATTCTACCCAAAAAAGTAAAGGTTATCCACTACTACCTCTATACTACCTTTGGAAGTCAACTCAACTAAATTCAAAGCAGAAGAGGAAAAACCTATAGGTGACTGTTGCAAAATGACTTCTTGAAGTTCTTCCTCAATTACACGCAATAAGTAATTAATTCACATCTTTGCAAGATGAGAAGAAATCCTGCCTGCTTCTTCTAATCCTAACCAGTATAGCATCTTTTCTATAAGCATTATGCATTTACATCCAGAACAGCTTCTTCAGCTCAAGAGGCCACAGGGGATCACTGACAATCCAGGCATAAAACACATGCAGAAAAGCAGAATAAGATGACTTACCATCATCTCCTCCTAGGAAGTTGCAGCAAAGGAGAAAATAAAAATCCATGAGCATTAAAATCAAAGCAGTAATGAAATACAAGCTTTACTGTAAAAACCGAACAAGTACAAGAAACCTTATTCACACTACCAAAAATACAGTCTACTTTCCATCCTATTTTTCCTCCTCAAGACAGCCTGAGAATAAACACATAATAATGGAAGTCACTAAGAATTTAAAATCCTAGTACAGCTTCTTGAAAGCCATGTATTAGCTTCAGAAAGACATGAACTCCAGTTCACATTATTCAACAATCTGACCAATGCTCCTTTCTGAAATTCTAATCTGAGATAAGCTACTCTTGCAACTATTTTTACTGTATCTGTCAGCAGTAGTTATTATGAGCAAAAGCTATACTGAGTTTCTAACATCTGGTGATGTTTTCTAACTACCTGTTGGTTAAATTGCATTTCACAAGAGACACACACTGGCATAGCAACACCAATTAACTTTGAACAGACAGTTCTGAATTTAAATTGAAAATCTAAAGTTCAAGTCATTATGCTTGTTTGTTTTAAATGAATAACTGAGCCTCCCTAAGTATTCATTTTTTCTTAAAATAATTTTATTTCTACACTTTCAATGAACTAACCATTGTTTACAGAAAATGTACAGCTACATTATAGTATGATGACTATGCACTAAAAGGTTTAAATAAAATTGTCCAGAAAAAAAGACAAGGCAAGAAAAAAACTGCTGGATTCATTGAATTTTAACTCCTTCCCAGCCACAAGATAAAATTACTGTGACACTTGCCCACTGAATAGTTTCAGATATCATTTAATTTTCAGGAGGCTCCCCTGACATTACTAAGCATACTCACGCACATAAAATCAAGCATGTTTATAATCCAACATCACAAACTGTAAATATTGGCAATGGATAGTTGCTTCAACACAGGACATTTTAAAAGCAGAGAGCACGCAAAGAAACTAAAGAATATTATTTGTATCATTTGTACTGAAGTCACTATGTTAAAAGAATTGCATAAAAAAAATAAAATAGACAAAACCCACCCCTACTAGGTGCCAGTGGATTTAAAGGACGATAGACAGATCGAGGCCTAGAAAATAAGTTAGAAAATGTAAAATCAGTTCTAAGCTAAATTGAAGTGCAAGTATAAAAGCAGCCTTCCTCTCCCACCCAATTACTTGAAACAGTTTTCTTCATAGATGCTGTTCCACACTCTCCAAGCAGAGGGCCCTTTGTATCCTGTGTAACGCTCTGGATTCAGCAGCAAATCCACGTACTGCGCATCTGGAGATCTCTCATCTAAATAAGAAATGTTTCGTTATGTACTCTGATTGTTTAAAAAAGACTTTAAAAGTCACAAAATTACATACAAATAAAAAGTCTCGTATAATACTCTTATTTCTCCAGTGGTATTACACATACCTTGTACATAGAAACAAAGCAATATACACTCTAAACAGAAAGGCAAAGAATATCTCTTTCACAGTCTCTTATGCTGCCATCACTTCTGCAATTTCTTACCATTTCCTATGTGGCTTCTTCAACTTCACTGTGAACACTCTATGTGCCGTGTGCTTTTACACCTTTTGCAAAGATATGAAGAGTTTTATTTTAAGTGGGCTTCAAACTCAGGGCTTAGTTGACCACGGAGTTTGGTGTGAAGAACAGAAAAGAGTAAGAGAACTGCTTTTTTAGAAATGGGTACAATGCAAATATGGCTCCTCAGCAAACACAAAGAAGCACATCTTGGCAGTGGAACAATCTTTATTAGCTGCATCACTTTTATTTCCAAGATAACCTTGTACGGTTGCATAAAGCACGGACCCCGTTGTTAACTGAACAAGCTTTCTGTGTAGCAGAAGCACAGAATACTGCAGCCCTGCTCTAGTGATGAACTGCTGGGATGTACTATTCAAGATATTAGGATACAATTGGATCATTAATTCCAGTGCTTTTGTTGGAGCAGTGAATTATAAGTTATTTACTGGATTACAGTTTATTTACAATGTTTTTGGTTTGTGGCTGGACTTGATGAACTTTAAGGTCTTTTTCAACCTGAGCAATTTTATGATTCTATATTCCAGGACAAGCTGTTGGTTATGGAACAAAACATTACTGAAGCAATATTCAACAAGTTATATCCTCATCCCTAAAGCTGACTTCAAATTCAGGCAAAACATCCACATTAAATCACTGTCTGATTCATACTCTGTACGAATAGAAAGTTAAGTTTTATGTTACAACAAGTAGAAAGCGGGAATAATTCCCTCTCCCTTTCCTCTCTGAAATTCTAGGTCAAGAGCAAATGATGCTAAAGAGACCCTTGTACAGTACAAGCCAGTAGTCCATACTTAATCGAAGGAATGGGCCAAGCAGCACAACTGAGCATTTCCTCAGATGTTGAAGAGATGAAGAGTGAAAACTGCTCTAAAAAGAAGTGATCCTGCACAAGCTGCTAAGCATCACTTCAGCAACAGTAGGAAAAACAAAGAGAGACTGACAAGACACACAAGAACAAAGTGAAAGTCAGATGGAGCACAGCAACTAAACCAGTTCCTACACTTTCTGGTCATTTCAGCTCTCCAATTTTTGTTCTCTATCCACTTACAAACGCATCTGAGGGGCAGCACAGCAGAAGGATGGAAAACTGACCTAAGTTGATATGGTATTTTTTCCAGCTGGATCAATTCCCTTATCGAGTTTATCATTGAGCCCAACAAAAAAGCCAGTAAAAAGTAAAACTGAAGATCTAAATTTGAGCTACAGTTAAGTGAATCAAGAGCTTTGACCCTACCAGAAAGAGAGGTGAGGAAGAGGAAAAAACAGTTTCTCCCTTCTCCCTATCACTCCCAGTAAAGTCACTCTCTCATGTTCCTCTGCATCAGCTCAGGAACTCACCTAATAAGCCATTTCAACCCAAACAGTCTGTGAAATAGAAAGGAGACATCAATCTTCCAGGTACTCAAATTGAGATTAGCTCACCACGCAGTGACAGGCATGCCAAAGCCAGAGCAAAAAGAACAGTGTAAGCACACAGCTGGGCACAGGCAGTAATCCCTTTTCAGTAGGGCACAATGTTGGAAAGAGATGGAGGTGGAATCAGGATCTACTTAAGCTAGTATTACTTCTGCAAGAAAATGCTCTTAAATTATACTTTTCCCATCTGAGTCCATTAAAAATAGGAATAGGCAACTTGAAGATGGACAACACAACTTACTGCACTGAACAGTTCAGATCTACAGTAATGCTCAGCGAGTACGTATTAGAGAAACAGTTCAGACAAAATTTTCACAGACAAAACACAGCAGAAGCACTGGAAGAGAACAGCAGTTATTAAATACATAACAGCTGCTACTTTCTCAGGTGACATCAAATATTAACCTAAAGGTAGATTAAAACATCTTGCACAGAGCCAAGTCTTCCTAGCATGCACAGCTTTGTAAGGTACTTAACGAAAATGATTTTTGCAGCCTTCCTTGAACTTGGCAGTGCTCATGTTTATCTGAAACTCTCCTTTAACCACTAAATGTTATATGCAAAATAGAAGGGCTCACACACAGAGCAGAGGGAAGACAAACTATCAGCCTAATGTTTAAACAATCAGAAGTCTTTACAGATAAGGGCCAGTAGAGATTGTCTGAAACTAGACTACAAGAATGTAACCAGCCCAAGCATAAAGAACAGAACAGCAGCAAAAATAATACAGTAGTAAGAAAAAATTAGGTATAAATAAATACTGCTGGATACAAGTCTTTTGTGAGAAGCAGCTTTAAAGAAAAAATGCTAAAACCCTCCCATTTGCTTTCTCTTTATTTCTGTAGAAGTCTCCTGTTGAGGTAACAGTGAATATATATTGGGTTTGTTTGTTTTTTGAACAAGGAACATTCAGATGTCTAAAATGCTTTCTTTGCATGTAAGATAACATGAACTGTCACATGTCAATGTAGCACAAAATCAAAACTTAAAACAGTTCCTTGCAGAGTAGCTACAATCTTGTTTTTATGAGACGGTAATAAAGTAATGAGAAAGTAATAAAGCAAACACTGAAGAAGCTTAAGCGTTTTACCATCGAGTTCACAAAAATGATCCTGTGAATCATCGTATCTTGCCCAGTCAATGAAAGCCTCCTTACTTTGGTTACTGAGGGGAAGAAAATACATTTGATTTTAAACTTTCAAATAAACAGTGTCAGTAAGAGCTACTCAACAACACAACCCATATACAATAATTAACTGAGATCTTAATTCTGAACTATTATATCTGGCATACTAGAATATATGGAGTTGGGGCAGAGATACAAGCAAGCACTAACTGTGGTACTTTCTGAAGTCAGTTCAGTGATACACAGCAAGAAAGATTTCACCATCTTCAGCAAACTCTGCACTGGTAGTGACTTTTCTTCCTTCAGTAAAAGAATTCCATAGCACACTTTTCAGCACTACTTTGACAGCTGTCACCACAGCAAAGAAAGTCCTTGTATTCCTTAACCTGTGCTTTCAAAGAAATCTACAATACTTAGCCTTGCTTTCGCATGGGAGGCTGGATCTCTAAAGGTTTTTCTAAGCTAAATTACTCTATGAATATGACTTGAGTCTTTTAAGTAATAATGTTAACTCTACTCAGTCTTGCAATTTCAAAGGTGCACTGTACCAGAGAAACAAGTACTTTGAAGTTCCCATACTACAAAACACAAGTAGTGCTATTAGCTAAATGCTTTCTTCAATGCAGATGTGAGAAAGAGAACTATTTATGTTTTGCTGTCAGTAGCGTGGTATAAGTGAAGATTGGGAACTCCACTCCAGGGTGCAGTAAATTCCCCTAAAATACCAAAAACAACCCATTTCATTTGATCAGAGCAGTACTAGCTCAGTTTGACATCTGCAATTCTTAAACAGGATACATTGTTAATCTACCAATGAAGACTACACTTAACATTCAGTGAGCCTTACAAACTTTCCTAATGTACCTCCCCCACTAATTACTAGCATGCAAGATTTTATAGTCACAATCAACATAGATGATAATGGAAAACAGCCCCAAACCAAAAGGATTTTGCAATTCTCCCAACTTTTATCAACTTGCAATTTTGCAAAAGCCTCTTTAGCCCTCTGTACATGTGCTAAATTACATTACTTTTTAATCTACAGAAACAGAAGAGTGCTAATGGCTTCGCAGTTCCCTTAACACTTGAGTAAGGCTCTGCCCAGATTGCTTTAAAATGCTACAGAAAATAGCATGTTACCTTTTTATTTTTTTTTAAACTATAGTTGCTTTTTATAATGAGCCAGGACAGCATTTTTTAATCAGGTAGGACTGCTGAAATCTATGGCCAAAGGCAACAGACCTCTCTGCTAGTGATAAACTTACTTTTTGTTTTTCTATTTCTGCTTTTTCAAAGCAGTGAGGCCAGTAGAATGCAAGCTTTCCTAAACTGCTCTGCTCTTTCCTAGTCAAGAACAACACCATCCTGCAGAATCTGTACCATCCAACCTTGGCTGTGCCATTTCAGTAGGCAAGACCAGGGAACTGATCCAAGCAAAAAATAACTTTGCCAACAACAAAAATAATTCACAAGCTCCCTGACCTGGTTCACCAAGTGATCACAAACAGGCACATCACTGTAACAGAGAGACCTGGTCAGAACCCCTTAATTCACCACAGTCATCAAGAAAAAGAAGGCTGATACTGGTAAAAACTGGAAAATAGTGTTTTTGTTTGCTTTATCTCCCACTGCTGTAAGATTTATTTCAAATAAATAAGTATACTTAAAAAAAAACAAACTAGGAGCATTTTTAAGACAAGGCAAGTACCTACTTCTCACATTATACCTTCAGGAATTTCTGCACCATTTCATATTTACTTTTTAATGGTCTATGGAAAGAATGAAGAGCAAAAACCAGCACATTGCAAAACCAAGACAGACAAAAAGAAATGCTGTTCCCTTGCTACTTATATATATATATATATAATTTTTTAATTGCTATAAATCTCAACATACCTTAAGGTACTGTTGACTGCTCCCAGTTTGTTAGCTTGCTCACAGTCTTCCAATTCTTTGGAATTATTTGCAGCTTTTGAATACTGTAAGGAAGGTCATATTTAATATACAAATAAGTTACCTAAAATTCACTCAAAACATGACGTGAAACATTTCTAACTCTAGCATTAAACTAGTTAGTATCAGGGAAAAAGCCTTGAATTCTAGAAGTGGCAAGTAGTACTTTGGAATACTTATTTTAATTTTCTTCACTTAATTTTATCAGGTCAATTTTACCCTGTACATTTAACTGCCATAGATGCAGCTAAACATGCCTAAAGGCAGTCATTTGCCACCCACCAGAAACAGTCCAACATCCAGTATTTTCTGAGTAGCAAATACTTCAGAAAGTCTGTCTACTCCAACTATTTCATGCTGAGCATGGTGTGATACCGCATGGAGTCTTTGGTTTGATCAGATCAGCCAACTCAGCCCCTTGGCCATCCCTAGCCTGCTCGCTGCTGGAACAGGGAAGAGGCCAGAATGAAATAAAAGAGGCCTTTCTGCCCTGCAAGCACTGGTCAGCAACAGCTATATTACTGGTATGTTACCCACGTAGTTTGAGTCAGGAATCCAAAATACAGTACCATATGTACTGCTATAAAATTAATTATTAGCAGCAAAACCTACCGAACTTCAAAGCAGTGAAAGAGATTAAGAAGTAATTTAGAGGTCACTAGAAGAAAATCCCAAACAACCAATCATTACTCCAGAAAGAACTTCTTGCTCAATTTCCTCAAATTTGCTAGGTGTGGGGGCTTCTCTTCATATCATTCATACGGATGTTAAATGGAAAAATGCAAACAAGGAATGCATGTCCTAGAATTAAACAGATTCTGCTGATGAAATAAAATACTGAGATGCTGAGGTAAACATTCTACATGTCTAGAGTTGCAAACCTATCCCTACCCTGAAGAGAAAAATATTACTGCCAAGATAATGATACTAAATGTAAGTTCCCAAACAGAATGAACATTCAAGTCCAAGCCATCCTTCCAGGCTTTGCTGTTCTCCGGTGTTTAACAACAGCTATGCAAGACCGTTTATTTGACCTCTGACTAGATCTGGATAAAATACTTGTTTTTGACAAAGCAGGTTCTTGTAAAAAGAAAAGTTTCTGAAAGGAAATAGAAGTGGGCAGAAAGCAAAAACTGAAGTTACGCACTATAGCCTTGAGGTGCTACATCCTTGCTTCAAAGTTTAATACACTGACTGTCATGAGTTCTCCAGTGTTTATGCATTGAGCTCACATGACAAGGTGTAAGTAGTGGAAGGGCTGCAGGGGTGCCCCTTATGAGCAGAGCCCAGCAGCTGCCCCATTCAGATCAGAGCCAGCTCCAGATGTCTCCAAAAGGGACCTGCAACTGACCAGAGCTGAATCACGAGTGACACACGGTGTGTAGTATGCCCCTGGGAGAGCAGATTTAAGAAAATGGGGAAAAAGATCTGCACAACAGCAGCTGGGAGAGAAAACTGGGAAAATGCAAGAGTAACGTTCCTGCAGCCACTAAAGTCAGTGCAGGAAGGTAGGAGGTGCTCCAGGAACTGAGCAGAAGTTCTGTGCAGCCCAGGAGAGACTGACAATGAATGGAGCAGGCGGTCCCCTGCAGCCCATGGGCATCATGCAGAGCAGATCTCCTGAGGACAACCTGTGGAGTAGCCCACAGTGAGCAGGTGGATGTGGCCTGAAGGAAACAGTAAGCCCATGGAGAGCCCCTACAGGAGTAAGCCCCAGAATGGAGCTGCAGCCCATTCCTGAAGGATGGCACATTGCAGGATGAGACCCATGCTAGAGCAGTTCTTGAAGAACTGCAGCCCATGGGAAGTCTGTGTTGGATCTCTTCATGAAGGACAGCATCCCATAGGAGGAATCTCATGCTGGAACAGGGAAAAGGAGTGAGCAGGAAGGAGTGGTAATGACAATGTATTTACCAACTGCCCCATTCCTCCTTCCCATACATGGATTGAGGTGGAGGAAGTAGAAGCTAGGGGGAAGGAAAATTTGCTTCTGTTATTCACTGCTTGACTCTGTTACCACTGTCAATAACCTAACCTTCCCAAAATACAGTTTCACCACTAATGGTAATTGGCTGGTGAATAATTTTTTCTGTACTTATCTAAACTCATGGGTTTCATTTTTTTTCCTTAATATTATCTCCTCCAGGCCTTCTGAGGAGAAGGAGCATGACAGCAGCACAGTACTCAGCTACCTACCAGTATTAAGGCACATAGTCCAAGACGTTTCCACTACTCCAATCAGACAAGCTTGCAGAAACTGAAGCTATTTTTGTGCCTCTCTAGCACCATTTCAATAAGCTTATATTGGTGCCAAGAATTTTAAAGATGCCATCTACTGCTAACTGTGCTTCTCTCTGTGGGAAACCGGCCTTCATGGCTAGATGACCTTCCAAAGGCAAAGCTGTTCTTTGTGCAATTAATCAACAAAAACAAACAAAAAAAGCCCTGAATAAGGCGAGAAGTTTACAAGGTATGCTCAGGTGAGATAAGTAGTAACTATGGCCATAAGGGAGATAGAAATTGCTGGGGAAGATGTAGATAAAGATAGGAGTAAGTGTGAATTTACACACAGCCATGGCACTCAACAGTAAGAGCTCTCATTTGGGCCCTGTGGATACTGTTACCCAATTGATTGCTAAAACCCTTGTTCTTGGGCACCGCGTTAGGGATTTGAGCATGGAGAAGAGTTATTCGTCATCCTGCTCTCACCTCTTTTCTAGGCATATTACACCTTACCTTCCTGGCTTTACTAAGATCACTTAGCGATCTAAGAAGGTTGGCTCAGACACAAGCAAGCAAAAGCCAACAGCACAAATTGACCACTTAAGTGGTCAACGAACTCAAGATTAGACAAGTCAAAACCACACATAACTGTTGGTTTTTTTTTTTTTTTTTTGAATAATATATAACCCACTACTAGGTTGTGTTTATAAGCACCACTACTCATCTCAGCCTAAGCTTTATAGAAGGTGACCTGTACTCAAGGTACAAAGAACTTTACATCAGGCATTTTGTGGTGGTGTTCCAATGTCTCTGGTCATTCATGATTCAGTCTGTACCAACTGTCAAGCTATTGAAGTCTCAGAATGATGCAATGCTACCAGCTACATCAGGAGCTCTAATTCACAGAAGTACAAAGCAGCATACAGGAATTGATGTTAACAACTGCATCACTGCTGAGACTAAAGATCCACAATAAAAAGCCATACATCTACTGTAATGTTAAGATTACAAGTCAGAAGAAGCTTAGAAAATAACTGACTACTTACTTTATTAGAGCTCCCAGCTTTAATTCCAACAGGTATTTTGCTCTAAAAAGACAAAAAAATTCGTTTTTTTTTTTTTAAACACTACACACAGACATTAATATACTTGATTAAAGTCTAGCAACTAAATATCATTCTACACAGAATGATTAGCTAGCTTCTTTGCTTTCCCAACACATTATATTTAAAAGTGCTACATCTTAGACCTAATTATTTGTACCAGTAATATAAATAACTCTAAGAACTTCAACTACTGATTACATTTTTTCTTTCGAAACAAAGTATTTATGTCACCTTTTTGTTTAAACTTAAGTTCATTAATAGAAACTAAAATTAAGTGCTCATTCTCCCTGTCCCCTACTCACAAAATTATATCAGAAACCTTCAGATTTAGACTTAGATTAATGCTTGCTTAGCCTAAGTGTACAGAACATCTTTCCAATATCAAAAATCAAGAGCAAAGAAGTTTTAAACCATTTTTTAAAATTTGATTTTCCTATTCTTCTGCTTTTTAGTACATAAAGGTACATTTTAGCAGAAGATTAAAACACAGAAAAATATATTAAATTAGTGGAAGTTAAGGGATTTTTTTTAAAGTTATTTCTGTAACTGTGTAATCAATGAATATATAGATGTTATAATTAAGAAACATACAGGAAAGTTAGGCTAAACAGGTTATCATGCTAAAGAAGAATGGATGGAAAGCTTACCCTTATCCTGGGCTCACTGAGAAGACTCCAAGAGGAGCGATCTCCAGAAGAGATCCTTCCCCAGTCGCAGTCAGCTCTTAAATGGGGTCTAGGAGAGGTGGAGCCAGGCCCCACCCCTTCCAGTAGCACAGGAGAATTGCCTTCACCTGTGCTCCCAGGGCTGACTCACTGCTTGCCTCAGGTGATCAATCAGAGGTTGAGGCCATGATTCAGCAGTTCCCATATACTATCATACTATTATTTTACATTATATAACCATTTACTTGAGAAAATGATATGGCATAACTAGATATGAGATTTGAAAAAAAAAAAAAAAAAAGTCATTTCAACTTATTGAAGCTAAAAAAGCAAGATATTACAACAGACTTCATTTTTACTAGAGTGGAAAAGTACAATGGATAGACTTAGTGAAATTAAACAAGCTGTTCAGTCAAACCTTTCCCTACTGTATATTATCTGATGCATACCTCAGGACAAGGCTCTACATGACAGTCTTTGATAGAACAATGGCCATCATCAGCCCAGAATGGGCATGGTCTCTTTAGATTCACCTAAACATACAAAAACAAAAGGTTATAATCAATACTGTTAAGGTAATGTAAAAAAAACTCCCAGTATCAGGAAATCATTTCAAATTAAATAAGAGGATAAAAAGGAGAGGGTTAAATTTATTACTTCAAAGCATATGGTGTGTATGTGTGTATACACACACGTATGTATTTAAGCAATCTATTAGTACACAAGCTCAAGCTCACTACACACTGAAGTTTTTAATGGTAATAGTCTCAACAGGTTAAAAAAAATATTATATAGAAGTTCCAATTAAATCTCTCACCATTAGTATTATACCAGAACAGTAAATAACTACTAAACGGAAAAGAAATCAGAAATACAGCTATAAAATAGTCATAATCAGTTGTATTAGCACTAACAGATCAAGGAAATACATCTCATGGAAGGCAGCCAGACGTTTACTGGTACAAATTAAGTGTTTGGATGATTTCAGATTTCAAGCAGTAAAAACAGATTCATTACCACACTTCATAATTGTCAAGGAAGAATGAGTATCAAAATACTAACAGTCTCAAATCAAAAAGCTGATGTTGCTTAAGGGTAAATAATGAAGAGAAACCACTTCAGAAACATTACCAGCAAAACTTGTCATGTTTTCTCATCAATGCTCTGATTTTTCAACAAATGGCACAATGAAGTCAGAGCACCACAAGTATTTGTCTCTGCTACGCAACAAGATGCTCAAACACTTGCTACAACATTTCAACTGGATTGTCAGTAGGGAAGTCAATTAAAGGTAAAAAAAAAAAAAAAAAAATCAGTATTCTTCTGCATTAGCATTATACAGATCAGTAAGCATAGTGATGGAACACTTCAACATCACCACTCCCACACCAGAGACTACAAGATTTCATGCATCATGAACTACAAACATTGCAGAACTACACCACCTTGGAAAACTAAAATTACAAATAAAATGAAGTAGCTATCACTATCTTTTGGGCAAAAATAAAATGAGCTCTACAACTTTCAAAGTAAAAAAAAAAATAATATTGTTTTTGTTTTCCTTCAGCAGAAAATTGTAGGCATTAATGACTATACACTTGAGTTTACAAACGGTACTGCTTACAACATCAAAACTATATGAAAGATGAGGTGGTATTACACACACAGGAAGTATGATCTGCAGAACTGCTGAAATTAAAGTAAGCCCTGCATTTGCAAGATGAAATTACTGTTGCTGAGTTTTATACAGTCTTGTGGACATGTTAGGGCTCATCTTCAAATATTTTGGTTTCTATCTTCCTCTTGCCTTTGGAGAACCTAATTACCACTTCCACTAAGAGATGCTATTTTCACTGAAGTTGCAAATATCTTATTTCCCCTGAAAGCTGTATCACATAGCAGTAAGAAATTCCAGGTGAAGCTACACTTTATTGCTTACTCCGATTACAAAGGGAAGATCCTAGAACTTCTCCTTTCCTCACGCTCAGAACCCCATCTTACATTCAACTCCTGCCTGATTCTAGATCAACAACTTGCTACATACTGAAAAACAAGCAGACAAAACAACATTCTGAAGAATCTACCAGGTTAAAGAGAACCACTGGTGTAACACGCTGTAGGACAAGGCCAAGATCCAAAAGCAAGGAAGGAGCAGGGATGGCCTAGCCAGGGCTAAAGGACTGGAACCTCCTTTTGCCAGTGGTTGGCAACCATGCGATTAGCTCAGTAAAAAAATCTAACTTCATTTTTAAGCTCAGCAAACCAGAAACTGAGAGTATCACTCTTCAAAATCTTATGCTGCTCATCCAGTTCTAACAGTGACCAAAACCAGTGCTTAAAGACATAGGAGAGTGCTACCACTCTACTTGAAAATTAATATTTGTAGGTTTTTTTTTTCCCCCAAAGAAATAAAGTCTTCCTAGCTGGCAAACACTAAAATCAGAAGTAGGATGGCAGCTGATTAAGAAAAGGAAATTGTTGCAATGTTTCAACTTTAAATTATCCACATTACTTAGAAGGCAAGTGCTGTACAATGCTAACAAACAATCCTCTTTCACACGCAGCAGCACAAAGATATTATCTTCAAAAACACCACTTATTGACTGAATGAAAGAATGACATCATCTACTATCACTGACTCCAGGAGTAATACAGCTGACACCTAAGACCTCCTACAAGCATAGCTGACAACCTGCTACAACCAAATTAAAGATCTGTGGGTTTCTAAAAGACGACATAATACAACTAATCTGGACCTGTAGTCCTCCCTATATTTTATAGATTTTATTCAAATTGTTCAGGAAAAAAGTTCATTCTAATCATACCTTGTAATATCTGAAGTAATCACGTTCTTGTAGTTTCTGTATTTTGGGGAAGATCTTGAAAGTATTGAAGTCATCAATGCTTTCTATGTCACACAAACAATCATCCAGGACACCTGTGAGCTATTAAAAGAACACACGTGATTGATTTTTTTAATCAAGAAATGTTAACTACAGAAAAACAACTAAAAATATGGCAGTCAAAACATACTAGTGAAATGCAGTTCCACAGCAAATACTCTCTCATTATTGAAACAATATATAACATTTCACAGTTTTGAGTGAAATAACAAATAACTTTTTAGTTTAAGCCCACTTCCAAATGCAAAGCTGAATCAGTGTCTGTCAGACTAACGTTTTTCAGAACTGAAATTCATTCTTAGTTTCAACACATAGAACCTTCTATGTAATGAGCAAGCTATGAATGCACATTATACTAGCACATCAGAGCCTCATATCAAATATTTTCCTCTTAAACATTTATTCATTGGATTTCCTGAAAAAAAAAAAAAAATAATGAAAAAACAACAGTGCGTAATTAGCTTTTAAGTACAAAAAATATTCAGTTTCTTTAACGGTATGGGTAAAGAGGGGAGAGAATAAGTACTTTTGTGCCCAAGAAGTTAGTAACCTCAACTAAATTGTACAAATATTAGGAAAACGAGGTACAGTCACCTACACTGTATGGCTGTAAACCTATTGTGAAATTAAATCTCAATTTCCCAGGACACATCACTCTTCTTGTGCTAGAACAGGAAGGTGCTGAATTAGCCTAAGACTGTCTTTGTGGTAAGAGCTGCACACAGTGCAGAGTCAGCACTGCCAGCACAGGGCAGATAATCTACAAAGTTGTTTGGCTTTAAGCTACCGCAACAATTTTCCTAAGACACCAACAGTGTCCTAACCAAAAGACAAACAGTGAAAATGTGATTCTATGTATATTTGTATAACAAGCTTCCTTATATCCAAACCAAAACGCTTCTAAGCACAGCTTCTCAAACAAATATAAACATTCTTGAAAAGACTTTCAAACTTATGTTTGAAGGCTTCAGCGTATAAATAAACAAATGGAATCAAGCACTGCTAACTACAATTCAGCCATACATGGAATTCATCAACGTATATTGACAACGTAAAGCTCACAAAGGAACTAAAACAGGTAAACCTGGCACATTTCATATTTTACATGGGCTTAGACCGTCTGACTAAGAACAGGTTACGTATAGATGGAGAATTTTTTTCTCCATAGATTTCACAGCTAAGTTATGAAAGTATCTATTTCATGCATGGTAAATCACTCTGCTACTCTACAACAAAGATGCTGTTATATAACCAGGCTTGATAGAAGAAAAGTCACTAGAAACTACATTGCATGCTTCTGCTCTTATGATGCATAAAGAAGGCCTGGAAAGTGGATTCCCCACCACGCAGAGACACTGAAGTAATGCTATGGCAATAAAGCATTTTAGTAGATAATTCACCTTCTGCACTCTTACTTCCTGACACACTAAACAGACTGTCACAGTTCTGCAGAACTTGTAGAACCACACAACAGCTTGGGTTGGAGAGGGCCTTAAAGCCCATCCAACTCCCCGCTGTGAGCAGGGCTGCCACCCAGCAGCTCAGCTGCCCAGGGCCCCATCCAACCCAGCCTTGGGCACTTCGGGGATGCAGCACCACTTTTCCGGGCAGCTGTGCCAGGACCTCACCACATCATGAGTAAATAATTTCTTCCTGATGTCTAATCTAGATCTTCCCTCTTTCAGTCTAAAGCAATTCCCCCTTGCCCTATCACTAACAGGCCATGTAACAAATCAGTCTCCTCCCTGTTTACATGCTCCCTTCAGGTACTGGAAGGCCACAGCTAAGTCTCCGCAGAGCCTTCTCTTCTCCACGCTGAAGAAGCAGAGCCTCCTCACCTGTCTTCAAAGGAGTGCTCCAGCCCTCTGGCCACCACTTACAGTGTTGTAGTAACAGTCATTTAAAAGAAGCAACTTTACCCAAAATCTTATTCCTGCCTTCCTTAATATTACTGAATTTCAAGCCTGGGCAAACAGATTGGAAAGACTGCATTTACTCACATGATTTTCAAAAAACCTCACAGCCCACATGACTACTGACTAGGAAGGCAAAAACTATTATTGATCCTTATAGAAATCAAACCTCCATGTATTTCAATTTACAATTGCATTACAGAAACATTTTTCATATTGGTCACACACGCATAAAATAGATATGCTATCTTTACACGTCCTTACTACAAAACAAACAGCAGTGCACTTTACTAGAGTAAAAAAGCCAAAGACAACTGAACATTTTACTCAAACATGATACAACTATACTAACAGGAAACATGGAGAACAATCATTTATTAAGATGAAAGCAGAGTGAGGATAAGCTGAGAAATTTTCTTTCGACTTGAAAGATGTAGAGCTGGAAATTATTTCGGTGACCACCTCTCACTGCTTCATTGCTTATGAAAATATTTATATCATCTATGCAAAACTCAGTGTTTTTTCAGGTGCAAGTGCTCCAAATAAACCCGTGGCCTTACAGACAGTGTCAAACACAAACGGAAATAAAAGCCACAGTCCTTTTATTTAAGTAAGATGGCAATCTAAGTGAAGTTACGCCTTTGCCAGATACCTCTGATAACATTTTGATTCTAAGAACACCTTTTAAAATGCAGCAGGTTACTCAGAAGATTATGAAGTGCCACAAATAATCAGGTCCCTCATCTAGAACAGTTCCAAGAAATTTTTCAGAGAAAAATTAATTCAAAGTACCGAGAACAAGCAAGTGAAACTCTCAGTTTCTCATAACTTTTTTTTTTTTTTTAAACTGTTGGCTTCCTGCATACATAAAACAGGAAAATCAATGTTTCCTTGGAAGGAGCGCTCTGAAATTACACTATGCTACATTTGTAGCAAAACAGAATTTATGAAGTCATTTGACAGCACGTGTGAAAAGCCAACACTACGCATCAGTGGAGTCAGCTCATTTGCATGCTAACACAGCAGCAACGCAGACTTCAATTGCCCCAGTCTGGGCTTTTTTATTAGCACAGCTGTACTTGCTTAATGACAGAACACTAAGGAAATGGAGAAAATGGTTTCATTCCTCTTAGCACCTGTATCTCCCAGCGAGCTCTCGTTCAAAGTGAAGGTATGGAAATAAGAGCAACATATTACACAGTTAAGCCTACATAAGATACAGCCTACTCCACTATTCACACAGCTGGCATTTTGCCTTTTTAAACTAAACCAGTTAACTTGCCCCACAAAAACACAGCAAAACTGAGGTCAGTTAAGTTACCACAGTGTTTATTACCACGGCCAAGCATCAAGCTTACATTTAAACTGTTGATTACTTTGAACTCTGTGATAAACTCTAGAAGTGGTAGCTTAATAGAATATGTGAGAGAAGTCAGACAGATGGGATTCTATTCCTTTCTTTCCAACACTCTTATCAAAGTATTTCCACACATTGTTAAAGCTATTTTAGTTTTTGTAGAGATATCAGAGCTGCATTGGAAATGTCAAGTTTATTCAAGATAAATCAGCCTTTCACAAGAAAAGGTCAATGTCCAACCTGGCATCAATTTTGCCTTAAGAAATCTGTAAAGCAAGTAGTATTTGGCACATCAACACAACGGAAAAAATGAACAAATGCAAATACTAACAAGCAGCATTTTCCTACAAATAACCTTATTAGCGTTATCAGGTTGCTGTACTTTAATTGCTTCAACAAATAGAAGCCCACTTGGGACACTCTGTTTTCTTTCTTAATATTTTATTTGCCATAGCTACAGAGCAAGAGAAAGGCTATGGGTAACATGACTCCAAGAGCTAAAGGCTGGCTTATCTTTCCTCGGTGCAGGTCAAACTCTTGCTGTTTAAACTGAGTACAATAAGCTAACAGTTCTGCAAAATAACAAAAGCTAATCTCTCTGCCAAGTACAATAAAGTCATGACATTTTGTTAATGCCTTCATTAAGAATCACAATTACATTAGTATCTAGTCACACTAAGATAAGTACTAAATAAAGGCTTCATTTTAATCTTAGAAAACATCAACACGCAACAAGCAGAAAAACAGAGGAGGGGCAGTGAGGTTGGGGACAGGTTCTGCATCAGAGGGCTGTGGGCATAGAACAGGCTGCCGGGGGCAGTGGGCACAGCCCCGAGTGCTGGAGTTCAGGGAACATTCTTACATCCCGCTCTGACACATGGTCTGATTTTCTGGGTGCTGTGAGGAGCCAGAAATTGGATTAGACAATCTTATAGGTCTCTTTCAACTCAGAATATTCTATGATTCTGCACACAGAAAAACTGCAGTCAAAGCTAGACTGAGTGCTAGACTAGTCACTGCCTCGGGTGGCCACTCACAATACAGCACATCACACAAAAATTTAGAAAATAATAACAATAATAATCAAGGACAGAAGAGACACGCTGCTCCACGCGCTCACTACTCGCAGGAGCTCCATACGAGCACAGGGCAATACGTTTGGCCAAGCTGATGCCCTCCGCTACTCGACACCAGATATTACTCAGCCGCAGCCGCACCGATGAACGACGGAACTCCGCGCGCCAACGCCGACCTTTCGGCACGCAGCTTACAGAGAGAGGGGACGCTCATCCTTCCGCGGGCTGACACAAATACAAACCGAGCGCGGGCACCGACACGCCACACGGCCGCTCACCGACTCCACCAGCATTCCCGCGTTGTCGCCCCAGTGCTACGGGCTCTGCACACCGCCCACGGCCGCGGCGAGCTCCGTGCCCGGCGGACCGTTACACATGAGTGCCGCTGCCGGGCCCCGCAGCGACCGCCTGAGAGCGGCCCCACGCTCCAGAGGCGCCCGCCGCCGGGCCCGGGCTGCAGCACGGCGCCAGCTAGGAGGACGCGGGCTACGGATTGAGGCCCGGCTTTTGCAGCCCGCCGGCCATCAGCCGGCACCGCGTCCCCGCTCCGCTCTCCACTCCCGCCGCATCTCCCTACCTGGGCTTCCGCGGCCAGGATAGAGCCCAGGACCGCCAACAGCCGCGTCGCCCACCGTGCCGGCGCCACTGTGCTCCGGCCGCCGCCGCCGCTCATGCTGCTCCGGCCGCTCCGCCCGCCGCGGCTGACGGGGGAGGGCAGCCCCGCTCTCCACTGCCACAGGAAGCGGGCGGGCGAAACGAAGGCCGGCCGCAACAATTCCTCCCGGCGCGGCCGGCGGGGGCGCCGCGCTCCCCCCTCAGCCCGCCCGCGCTGCCGACACCACAGCCCCGGCTAGCGCACGCACCAACCCCCACGCCTCGATAGCCGCCGCAGCCCGCCGCGCGGCATGCCGGGGGCTGTAGTCTATCCCGCCCCTCGGCGGCTGGGCTGGGCGAGGACTTGGGACGGCGCCCAATAGGAGAGGACCACGCGGGCTTCCAAAACAAGCGGTGAGCGAAGGGCTGCTGTGCGCTTGCGCTAGGCGGGAGGCGGTGGTGAGGGGAAGCTCAGGAGCGGTTTTTGTCTTTTGGTCTCGTATCCCGTTCTCCCTTAGTTTCCGGGTTTCCCCCTCCACGCGCCTGGGCTGGCAGCCCAAAGCTGCACGGTGCCTGAGCTACCTGAGCCACCTCGTTTATTTTCCTGGGTAGCGCTCTACACAGCAGCCAGCCGAGCTGACTCACCTCACGGCTGCCCCAGCGCTCCTGCTGATCCAGGGGTCGAGGCACGTACCCTCAGAGGAAGGAGAGAGTGTAGGGCCACCCCCGGTCCAATTACTGCTATATCCGCTTAGCAATATCTAATTCCATTTTACTGTTTGTTGAAGTTTTACTGGTCCTTCAGGGCAGATCTGTTGGCAGCCCAGAGGTTGAAAGTTTTACATGAATTGCATTTCTAAAGCTTTGCTTTGTCAATCAGTAAGACTAGTCTGAGACACATTGCCACTGCTGCTTTTCGGCTCCTTTTGAAATGCTTAAAAAAAACCTTAGAAACAGTGTTGTGTTCCTAGCAGTTAAGTCCATGGCTGTAATTCACTTCCAGACTTTTGCAAAAGTTGGTATTTTATTGGGAAACTGTGAGTGCTGCACTGATTTCATGTGCAGGGTTGCTGGAATTTGGATTCTGCTTTCCATCCATGCCCAGATTGTTTTCATATTCTCTCTGTTAAAGGAGAACGCTCGTTTTCTGGACTATGGAGATGAGCATTAAGATCAGGGAACTGTTTCTGTGAGCTTAAAAGTTTTTTTAAACTGGCCATGGCCGTGTTCTTACTTGCCAATATGCCACATATTTTTGCATTTTTGAAAATGACTTGAAGGAAGGATAGCTATGAATCACGGAGACCCTGAAATGAATAGAATCATAGAATATGTTTTAGTGGTTGGTGACCCTGCACGTAACAGTGGGGTTGAAACTAGATGACCACTGTGGTCCTTTTCAACCCAGGCCATTCTGTGATTCTGTGATAATCCTGTGGTGGAAGGGGTCCATGAAGGTCACTGAGCCTAACTCCTGGCTCCACGCAGCACCACCCAGAATCAAACTCTATGTCTGAAGACAATGTCCAAATGTTAATTGAACTCTAGCTGACTGGGGCCATGCCTACTGCCCTGGTCAGCCTGTTCCAGGGCCTGAGGGCAGTAGTTTTATAGGTTGTAGTAGGAGGCAGAAGTTGTATAGTTTGCTCTCTGAAAGAAGATGTCTGCGCTTTCCTTTTCTCTCTGTAGTAAGGGCCGTAGGCATATCATTTGGGAAGGATTGAATTAGAATTTATGCCTACTTCCAGCAACAGTGGACCAATATGTTTGCTAGGTATTTGAGAATAAAAGGCAGAAGAGCTAATGGTAATGTTTACCTTGCTGTGGCTGGCTCACACTGTTGCTACTGCATAGGCAGTAAGGCATTATTTCTGTTTGGCAAATCTGGATGAATTCACTGTATTTGTTTTCATTTTGTAGGTTTAATTTTGGAGCACGTTTTAATAATAATTAAAAACAAACAAAACACCTTAGAAATACCAATTGTCAGCACTGTGACATGCATACACTTCGTATAGGACTATACAGATTAGATGTAAACTATCTCTATTTTCATAGTGTTCATTCAGTTGTTACTTTAAATATTTACATGAGTTACAGAAAGTGCTTATTTCTTCAGCTCCAGCAGTCTAATCTTGCTTCTAGTGAAAGTAACAGTTTGGCTATGATTCTAGTATTAGCAGCATAAGGCATTGTCTGTAGATGTTTATAAATAATAATTCTAAGAGGCAAAAAAATTATTTATATTCATAAGTATTTACTAGAGCTGAATTATGCTTGACACGGTTTTCTACACTCTAGAGCATATCCAATCTTATTTCATTTTATTTTTTAGTGTTGATTTCAACATTTGAATGATACTTTGGTAGAGAAATTAAATGTGAAAAAAAAAATCCCAACATAGAATTTTTTTGAGTAATTATTTTCAGAAAATAGCTATAAGAGAAACAGAACTATGATCCCAAAGAAAACCTACCAGAATGTTACAAAACAAGGAGTGTTTACTAATTGTGTTTCTTTTAAAGAAATTTGCTGTGAGGTTATAATGTTTTTGCAGGGACTGAGAACAAGTCTTTGCTGGGTAGAGCATTAAGCAAGTTTTTTATCCAGATGGTTACTGTAAGCTGGGTTCATGAAAAGAATCTGGCAGGTATTATTTTTCAACTGCTTTAAAAAGCATCGCTTAGCATACAAACAAGTGTCTTCCACAATTTCACAACACACGTTGCTGTTAAAAACGTTGACGGTTTTCTTTGCATACTGTGATAAAGACTTAAATAATGCACATCAGAATCACCGCTTTCTCATTGTAATGTAGTTGTTGCCTAGAGCAAAGAGAGATTGGGGGGCATAGGGAGCAGCAGATGGCCTTATAGTGGTCTAGGGAACTACTGAGTCAGGGCCTGAACCACTGATTGAGCACCTGGGGAAAGAACCCGGTCAGCCCTGGCAGCACAGGTGAAGGCAATTCAGCTGTGTGACCAGAGGGGTGGAGCCTGGCTGCACCTCTCTTAGACCTCATTTAAGGGCTGACTGCCACTGGGAAGGATCTCTTTCTGGAGATTTTTCTTTGGTGAAGTTTTTCCCTGTGAACCTGGGATCTCCTGATAAGGGTGAGTAATCTTCTTCTTTTTTTTATAGTACCTCTATTGTGCTTCTCCATTTGTCACTGCACCTTTGTTGCATGATACCTTTCCTGTTGTATTGATCTGCACAGTTGCTACGTGTGGATACAGCAGCTGTGCAGTTATGCAGGCTCTCTGGCCAAACTTGCTTTTAGCTCATGGGAAGGTCACAGAAGGAACTGTAATTGATAAAGTCCTGCCACTTTTCTATTGCTGGTTCAATTGTTGTCTTTTGGTTAGTTCTTATTTGTTTCAGCTGAGATCATGTGCTGTAGTTGTACAAAAAATTCATGTGTGGTGATCTCTTATGTAAAAATGTGTCTTAGAAATTATTACAGAATCAATTGAATTGAGTAAACAGGCAAAATGGGGCAGATTCACATCTTGTGTTATTAGAAGCAGAGTAAATCACAGCTGCTTTGCCAAGTTCGTGAGCTAGATTTCAGTAACCTGAGATGTGGATTTCTGGAAACTTTTTGCCCTTGAAATTTTGCCTTATTTATTTTTCTGAATTAACACTTGAGTGACTGATTTCTAAAATTAACAGAATAAATGAGGAATCGGTATGTCACAAGTTCTTCATGCCTGGCAAACAGTAAATGTGAGAGCACAGCCTGTTGGGCAATGGAGTATCTTGCAGTAGCTTAATTGTGAATATTTGAAGATGTAGAAAGGTAACAACCTTTGGTGAACCACCTGATAGATGTAGAAAAAGCAGGCAATGTGGGACACGTGAGTTCTCTGGCCTGTTAGGCCCACTGTATCTAAAGAACTGGTACATTCTAAGCCCTGGGTTTTGTGTGTGTTTTTTTTTCTCCAAACTGTATCATTAGACTTGCAGCAAGTTTTTTATATTTCCTTGTAAGTCATACTTGCCTGCTATCCTGCTCTCAACTGTTGAAGCCTGCTATGAATTACTTTAAAAAGTACCCAAAGTTATCAAGCTAAACGAGAGTAATGTGAAGGCTATGGACTAAATGAAATAAGCAGTAGGTCAAATTTAATACAGTAATTAAAAGGGAAATTTCATACATGAAATTTTACATACAGCAGTGTCTTTGCAATTAGTATATTAAAAAATGAAAATAGAGTTCAGTAAAAATAAAGAATTGCAAAGTACGAAGAGAACAATTTAGGAAAAAAATTTTTTGTAGGTGATGGAAAAACTAACTACATATCTTAGCTGTACACTTGTATCCTGATTCCTATGCTTTAGACTACCTGTGTAGGGTATGACTGCAACACTTCAGTCAAGAATACAGAAGAACTCTTTGATGTCTTACTGTCATCCTTGTAACACCTATCCTATTTTGGAGAAGGAACATAACAAAGAAATGAGTATAGTGACTGCCAATCTTCTGAATATTGCAGGTGAGCACAGACATAGGTAATCTGGTTTCAAAAAAACCCATAACCAAACTCTAGAATTTATGCACCTGCCCTCTGTGCGTGTGCTTATTGGCCAGTAAATCTGACGGTGAGGTGGAGGTCTCAAATTATTACGTTTCATGAAAACAAGCAGCCAGGCAGGGAGAACCTGCTAATGCCCTTCACAGGGGTAAGTTACAGCCTGAGACCAGCCATATAGTGGTCAGGGTCAATATGCTGATCTAGAGAAAATGAAGTTTCACTGTTTGTGTGGCTTGTGTTTGACTTGGACACTGCACAACCCCTGGAGTGGTGAAAACACTCCCATATCATGTCAGACTAAAGGCAAACAGGTTAGCCACAGACTTCACATAAGATGGCCTGTGTATGTGTCATTTTCTTTATATAGTGTTGTTGCAAATGTTTAAATTGCAACATTTTTGTGCAACTGTAGAAGAACAAACCAGTGTAATAATTGGCAGAGAAAGTAATTTTAGCTTTTTAGCTACTGGTTAATGATTCCTACTCCTAAACAGTCGCAGAGTTTTAAGGAACTGGTCTAGCAACATATTGAAGCTTCTGACAGCTGTGATCTACAGAAGGATACCTGGGAAAGAAAACACCAGGTATATTTCCTGACTACTGAAGTAAGTTAGGAATGAAGAGTTTATGTTGAAACAGAAATAATCTGTTGAATAAGAATTTACTGAAAGATGCCTGAAATACACAAAGCAAACAAATGAAGGATAAACAGTTTCCACATGTTACAGACAAGTCTATAGCAACCATCATTATTAGCAGTGCTTCACTGGACAGGAATATATTCTCTATGGGTTGGAAAAGGCTTCATCTGCAGCCTTGAGCTCAGAAGACACAAAAAAAACCACCTTTGTGACTGCAGGTTATTATTTCAAACACAAAAATAACTTGCTATTTATTACCGGATTTGAACATGTTTGGGATAAGTCTAATCAAGGGTGGGATTTTTGGTTTTTTTTGTTGGTTATTTGGTTTTGTTGTTGGTTTTTTTTTTTGTTTTTGATAGCACTGAGGAATGGAGAAGAAGCAGATGTAGCTTTGGTTTGTAAAAATGCAGTTTGAGAATATTCATTCTGTTTGAGTATGAACTTAGAAAGCTTCTTTATGTTATTGTTAGTTACACTGAGGTTAGCAGTTTACAGAGTTGCAGCAAGGTAAGCTATAGGTTGTACTTAAGTTCAGACATTTAGTTAGAGAGCTAATCCACTGATTTAGAGTATGCCATGGCTTAAAGTTATTCTGTTTATTAATTTTTATGATACAACTGTATTTTTTTTGCCAAAATACTTTCTGTCTGTCTTGACTGGTCATCTAGTTAAGTAACAGTATCTCATTTTGTTAAGTATGATGCAAGAACAGGCATGTAACAATCTAATTAATCTGTACTGTTGACAGTGCATTAGAGATATTTACATATAATTACAGTGTCTTCTTTAAGTACTAGGAAAAAAAGTTAAATTATGATGGCTACCCAAGTTTTGAGGCAGTACTGCTGTCTAGACTATTGACCTCCATTATAAAATTCCATTATTTTGAAGAGCACTTTACAAATTTGTTAATAAAGAAATTGTTTCAAATTGAAAAGCTAATATGGTTTACAGATGCACTTAAAAACACATGATTTTTAACAGCATTAACCAGTTTGGCTGTTGGTATAAGTGTTGTTATATTAAATTATTATGATGTTATTTACTAAAATAATTTCTGAATACTGATACAGGAAGATCTCAGGTTGTAAATGCCGTACCAATGGTGGCTTAGCTCCGAACACCATTAATGTTTGTGTTTTACAGCTGCCTATCTAATATTCCCTTGGATATTTTGACGGATGGATACATTTTGTTCTAGCATATATACATTTATATGATGTTCTTGTTACTGACCTTGTCTACTTTTGGCTTTAAGAGTCTTAGTCTTCAAACAGCACACAGAGGTGATGAATGTATGCAGGTCTTCAGGGCAGATAAGGCATACATTTAGTAAGGTGAAAGCCCAGAAAATTCTTCTTTGTTGTTGCTTACACTTACAGGGGAGGCTCCAATTGTTATGGCAGTATTGGTGCAGATCTGTGTTGGTGGGAACACATTTTCTCTTCACTCTAAGTCTCTGCCTGATTATCACCAAAACCATTGCCTCTTCAAGGAAATCCTTGAGGGAAACATGGAATCAGCAGTTTTGTTTCTAATTAGGCTCAGGGTTGCTCTTTCACATTAAGAAATTCTCCCTTCTTTGGAAATGAGTTTTGGTACTAACATGGAAGCAGTCAGTCCATATAGTGAAGAGCTAGACTCAAATGCTATACCAAAACAAACAAACAAAAAAAGCCCCAAACAAACAAAGCCATGCTTTTCCATTGCTTTTACCTGTCATGAATAGCAGAAATATTAGTGATCTGTTAGCTTTGCCTTGGAGATTAATATACAGAGTGAAAGATCTGTATGTGTGTGTAAAGCTCAGTGGCAAAGCCTCTGCTTGTATTAGGTGAAACAAGGGCAATGCTGCTTAATCTTCTGAACGCTGTGCCACCGTTGTCATTAGTAGGATGATTAAAAAGCTGTAAAAGCTATCCTTGCAAAGCCTTCCTCAATTCTGAGGACTCATGAATTCACTACAGTAATCATGGCAAACCACTAAAATTCTAGATATTGAAAAATTTTAGATGATAGCAAAAAGCCAGATAGCAGCATGAGCTGTTGTATTTAATCTAAATTCTGCATGTAAGAGGAGCTTAATCCTCACCACAATTTTTTTTTTTTTTTTTTTTAGATTTGTATAATGCATTAGATGGAAATAAACTGTGCAAAAGCACTTGGTTGTTAATGCTTTATGGACCAGTCCTCTTCTGGTTCTCCAGTGTTAGTAGGCTGACTGATCTGAGGCTCTCCCAGTCCAGTGGAGGAGAATTTGTCTGTGAAGTCACAACCTCCCTAACAAAAGATAAAGGTAGCTAACATAAATGTGTGACCTGCATGATAGCAAGCTAACAACATTGTTGCATTGGTTTCTTTTGTATTGTACAATAAGTAACATTTGATATTTCTTATTTAGAAATCAATTTCATGCATGGGCCTCATTTGAGGAATCTGCAATTACTTTAAGCATAGTGAAACTGTAAGTGAAAGAATGTGTCAGAGACAGCAGTGCTGGCCTAAAGCAATTATATAAAAGGATTTGACATAATCATGATGTTTGTGTCATTAGGGCTCTGCAGGTGGTGAAGGCTCTGAAGGTCAAGAGGTGTGAGGAGCAGCTGAGGCCCCTGGGTGTGCTCATAGCAGAGGAGCTGAGGAGAGGCCCGATGGCAGCTGTAGCTCCTCGCAGGGAGCGGAGGGGCAGCGCTGAGCTCTGCTCTGTGTGACAGCGGCGGGGCCCAAGGGAACGGCATGGAGCTGCGTCAGGGGAGGGGCTGTGGGGTTGGGGACAGGTGTTGCACCACAGGGCGGTGGGCACGGCCCCGAGTGCTGGAGTTCAGGGAACGTTTGGACATCGCTCTCAGACAGAGGGTTTGGATTCGGGGCGGTGCCGTGTGGAGCCCAGAGTTGGGCCCGATGATCCATGGAGGTCTCTTCCAACTCGGGATATTCTGTGATTCTGTTGTGCTGGAAATGCCTGTAGTGTAAGAGAATGAACTTGATTTATCTGTCAAAACCAGTGCAGTGTACGACTGTTGCTGTGCAGTACTCCTGTTTATAAACTCTGTTCTTGCCATGTGCAGATATAGGTGAAACCCTAATGGAAACCACCTTTGTCTGCAGGTAGTTAGCTGGCTGTGAGAGTATGAGCTCAGGAGAGAACAACCGATTTCCTATCGGTTACGTGCAGACGGTCACACTGCTTGATGGGTCACAATACGTGCCGTCTTTATCTTTTTCGTTCTGTTAACGAAACAAGAGTTTTCACACAGCGAAGCGCGACCCGCCCGCAGCAGGGCCGTTACGCCCCGGGAGGCCCCGCCCCGCCCGGCGCTACCTGCCGTGCCGGGCCGCGGCAGGAAGGGGGCGGCGCGCGGCGGGGCGGTGGCGCGCGGCGGTTCCGGGCACGTCTGCGGTCGACGCGCGTTCCTCGTGCTGCGACCCGATGGCCGCTCCGCAGGGCCCGCTGCCCCCAGGTGAGAACTGCAGCGGGGAGCCAGGAGGGAGGGGCGGCGGCGGCTCTCAGCTCCTCCGGGTGAGCGACGGACGCTGCTCGCGGGCGGTCCGTGGAGCCCTGCCGGGTCCGGGGGAATCGTGGATCTTGGGAGCCGAGCTGGGGAGCGCGGCCACGGCTTCTTTATTATTTTCCCTAAAAGAGTGGTGCTAGTGACTGCCTCCTCAGCTTCCCTCCCCCCCGTCACGCACACGGTAATAATTTATCATATGTTGTGATGTGATTTAGAGCAACTTGTCTTGTCAAGCCTACTCCGGTGTTTAGTGTATTAGTTAGCATCTTAAAGTCTTTTTTTTTTTTTCCCTTTTCTCTTAGCTACTTTAAAAATACTAATCCCAGGCTGCGGGTGGTCTGTAAGCCAGTGCTTTTCAACCTGTCCTACTTGTGGCACTTATGACTTCTGAATGCCTTCTGTGAAGTGTGCCTGCCTGACTGCTGTTCCTTACCTGTCTGCTCATGCAGCATCAGAGTTATGAGTAATTAACAGTAAACAACTGTGTACAAGTGCTGATTGACCCAGTGTTAGGTTTTTCAGGGACCTGGGTATTCTAATGTAATTTTCTGTACCTCTTTTATTCAAATCTGAAGTTCGTGTGCTCCATGCCGAAAGTGTTGTGTTTAATTGAAGGGTTCGTCTCTCTGATCAAACCTAGTATAAGGGGAATCACTTTGGGCTGTACTGTTAATGTGTGCATGGGAGAAGCTGTATAGGCATGTGGCTGATTGACATGCTGAAGGTAGGCCTGACATACGCTGTGGTTTGTGAACCTCCTCCTTCTGAAAGGTCAAAACTGTGAGGCCTCCCAAACCCACCCTTCAGGCTTCCTTGCCACACAAGGATGAAGGGCAGTTACAGGCTGGGAAATTGGAAAGTGTGTGCAAACACACACATGTAAGTTTGTGTAAACTGAGGTACTGTTAACACTGGTAAGTGCCTGTGCCATATCCCCATTAGTCAGCAGCGGTATTGAGTAGGGAGAAGCTGTGCTGATGGGCATAAGTTGGCTGCTGCTGTTGGAAACTGGTTATGCTGGACAGGCTCAGGCAGAGAAGCTGTGAAGAGTATTGAGTGGCTGATCTGGAGGTGCTGGGAGCAGAAAGGATCTTTGGGAACAGCCACCTGGGGCAATTTCAGAGAATGGTGTGGAAGCAAATGTGGGCCAGTGGCTGTATGCTGTCAGTAATAGTGATTTGTTGACAAATCCTAGAAAATGTTGTTAGCAAGCTCTCTGCTGAGGTAAGTGTATTTACATGGTCTGCATTTGGGTAGTCAGTCAGGTGATAGATCTATTTCCTGTCAGCTTTTCAACATGCAAAACTGAGGGTGTTTCACATTTGAGATAAATAGAGAACTTTCCTCCATGCTGTTTCATGCACCTGTATCCAACTCTGTGAATTGAGCTGCAGCCTGCTGGGAAATACAGTGGGGAAAGACAGGGGGACACAGCATTTTAATTGCTTTATTCACAATTGAATTTTAAGTCTGTGGTTCTCATTATCTAGATGACCTCTTCCAACTCAAACGATTCTATGGTTATCCTATCAGTGATCAACAGAACTGTGGTTACTCACTGCAGGCAGTACATGGAGTATTTATTCTCGAGTACAAATGTTCACATGCATACATGCCACCTGTAGAGAATGCTGGAACTTGGTAGTACTCAGCAGTCTAAAAAAAAAAAACCCAGGGAAATGAAGAACTTGAAAACAAGAGGAAATGGATGTAAGTATAGGAAACACAATATGGTTTTTTAGTATTTTTTTTTTTCAGGATGTATATTAATCAAGGAGGATGCAAAGCCACTGATTTTCAGTTACTGTGTTTGTGAGATCTAGAAGGCAGCAGTCAATGAGGAGTACTGCTTTGTTGCCCCTTGTAGGGTAACCCTGGAGTCTGCCAAGTCCTCATTCCAAATCTCCATATTCTCAGAGCTGCTCCCATTTGTTCAGTGCTTCACTCTGAATTGTGGAAGTGAAAGAAATACCAGTGTTGTAATGGACTTTGCTGTCTTTTAGAGTTTGTAAGGGCAGGTAGGAGAGAAACTACAGGAGCCACAAAGGTTCACCAGGGTACGGAACTTACTGTGGGAGGGGGAGGACTACTTCCATCTACCTTAAATTACAAGGCTGAAAGCAAGTTTGTGTTTTTTTGTTGTCGTTAATTGCAGCCAAAGATTCATAGGCGGAGCTGTAAGGCCTCCAGAGTAAACTGATTAGAACAAGCATGCTTTGCCGCTGCTTTCCAGGAAGGAGTCTTTGCTGGCAGTACAGGAAGCAGTGAGACTAGGGAAGTTCTTGGCTTCCCTTGGCTCCTGCACTTCCTGATTTGTCAGCTTTCCTTTGCAGATTGGGTTCCTCAATCTTCCCTCTCTGCTCCTGCTTCCTCCACAGTTCCCTGCTACCACAGATCCTACCTAACTCTTCTGCTTTGGGCCCTACTCTCCTGCAGCACCTTGCTCCAGCTTATTGTCATTTCTGCTGTCCCAGTGTGACTTGTGCCCCTTCTGCATTCAAGTCAGGCAGTTTGTGTTATCCCTTGCTGTCAGAGCAGGCTTTGCCACAGCGTTTGCTGATCCCATGGTTCTGGAGCAGGGATTTCATCCCTCACAGAAAGGCCTTTACAGATGTTCAATGCATCCTGCGTGCAGAGGATGTGCTCCAGCCGTGCAGGGCTGACCCCTGTAGCTGTGAGTCCCTTGCTCAGGGAACATGTAGCCTTCCTGCGAGCACAGAGCTCTGAAATGTGCAGAGGGGGGCTGGGCCCGCACCTGGAAACCCAGCTTAGGAGGCTGCATCCAAGAGGCTGAAGGGAGAATGGCTCTATCCTGGTGCCTTGTCTGCTTCTCTGCTGCCACCTTTTTATTTTTGGGCCTGTCTGTTGTACTGTCTTCTCTTGTCTTAGGTTGTTTTTGTAGCTGCTTGAGGCTGAAAACTTTCTGATGTGCTCTTGTAATGAGTGTAGAGACTTTCAGGTTGAGAGTGACAGGAATGAAGATCCTATTAGATAATTTAAAATGCTTTTCATAGTTTTCAAAAACATTATAGTTACCAGCTGAAGAGCTCTTCTGTGAGGAAATGTGATGAAGATGTTAAAGTGAAGGCATGGTATTGTGCATCTTGGCTTGAGCACTCTTGATCAGTACTTGGCAATTGTTTGTAAATTTCACTGTGGATGCAGGGGATTGACTTTTCATGATTCACTTGCAAATGCTTTGAGGATTTATGTTTGTATCCTGTTGATGTTAATATAATTGAAGTTCATTATTCAGTAGTATACAAATATAAAACATTTGAGGTAAGCATTAATTATTAGGCTTTGTACTATAATCTACCATGTGTATTTGATGTACATTACAGTATATTTTGTTGCGGTGGGCTTGTTTTCTGCTTGAATTATGGCTTTAAGGGGAACAACTGAGTATGGCTACTTGGAGAACAGAACTTAGCTTGTAGCAGATTTTCTGGGTTCTACTCTTCACTACTGAACTGCTTTGTGAATGATTTATTTTTTCTAAAATTAATGTAGTTTTCATTTAACTCTATCTTTTGTTAGCTTTGAGTTGCATTTCTGTTTCATCTGTGTGCTAGTGTTTCTGATGTTTTCTAGTTTGTTGTGTTGTTGTGTAAATTTGACACAGTGCATATAATGGCTGTCTAGCTGTGCTTTGCCTTGATCAGATAAATAAGCAATTCATGAATTTTCAGACAGGAGAATTTTGAGGATTGTGCAGTAATAAAGTCATCTTGTTTCCAGCAGATCATGCAACAAAAGAGCCAGTAGAGGATACAGATCCCAGCACTCTTTCCTTAACAATGGTATGTATTTCTGTTCTAACAAATTTAAAATCATTAGACCTCTCTACAGTTATGTTATGCAGATGTGATTGAAATATTTAAGAAACTCAAATCATGTGTGTGTATTTAGGGTAACCCTGTGTAATTAAAATAAAAATAGTAATAGATTCATAAGCTATTATAAATCAAGGATTGGTGCTGGCACTGGTGCTATTTATCATTGTAAGGAACATGGGCAGTGGGATTGAAAGCACCCTCAGTGAGTTTGTGGATGACACCAATCTGAATGGTGCAGTTGACACAGTGGAAGGAACAGATGCTATCCAGAGAAACCTGGACAGATGTAAGAGGTAGGCCCATGCCAACCTCAGGAAGTTCAATAAGACCAACTGCAAGGTCTTGCCATCTGGGTTGGGGCAATCCCAAGCACAGATACAAGTTTGGTGGAGAGTGGCTTGAGAGCAGCTTTGAGGAGAAGGATTTGGGGATGTGGGTTGATTAAAGACTCAACGTGAGCTGCAAGTGTGCACTTGCAGTCCAGAAGGCCAGCTATATCCTGCATTGCATTAAGAGTGATAAGCAGGTCAAGGGAGGTGATTCTGCCCCTCTGCTCTGTTCTTGTGAGCCCCCACCCAGAGTACTGTGTCCAGTTCTGGGGCCCCCAACGCAAGAAGGAAGGACATGGAGCTGTTGGAGTGGGTCCAGAGGGCTGGAGCACCTCTCCTACAAGGACAGGCTGAAAGAGCTTGGGGCTTTTCAACCTGGAGAAGAGAAGGCTCTGGGGGGACATTATAGCAGCTTTCTAGTACCTGAAGGGAGCCTACAGGAAAGCTGGGGAGGGCCTTTTTATAAGGGCATGTGGTACAGGATGATAGGAAATGGCCTTAAACTGGAAGAGAGTAGATTTAGGCTAGATATTAGGAAGAAATTCTCTACTGTGATGGTGGTGAGACACTGGAACAGGTTGACCAACAAGGTTGTGAATGTTCCCCCCTCCTGCCTCAGAGGTGTTCAAGGACAAGCTGGGAATTTGGGCAACCTGATCTTGTGGGGGATGTCCCTGCCTGCGACAGTGGGTTGGAACTAGATGATCTTAAAGTCCCTTCCAATCCAAACCATTCTATAATTCTGTGCTGAATTGGGCAGCACCAGTGAGCAGCCCAGTAGTTAGCTAATAGTCACAGAGGGCCGGTAACAGCACTTTTTTTCATTTTTAGAAAAAAGATTTTTGCTGACATTCTTTTGTCTGTATGGGTTGAAAGGGTAAGAAAATCCAATTAAGGCTTAAAATATAAATTGTATTGACTTATTACTCTTTCCTGTACCTATTTCGTCTGATGAGTTAAGGAGATGGAAAGGCATGATCAGTAATGATACCAGTGCCTTGCAGCAGACGTGGTAAAACCTAGGAGAGACCTGACAAGTGCTCTGTGGTGCATCCCCGCTGAGTAACACAATTTATTACAAAGTTCTGATATATTAAACATGCCAATATTATGCTGAGACATAGACTGTCCCAGGAATATGTAATTTGGTGCAGTTTTCTAAGAGTTCTTTTTAATGTTGCAATGGATTGCTTCCTCTGGGGAAAAACAGCGGTGCTGCATAGCCCAGAGAACACTTTTCTAGTCTAGCAGATTAAAATGCTCTGATTTGTTTTATGAGTAGTAATTTAGTAGGTGACTGTTTTTCCTTGGTGTTTTCTTCCCATTTTGAAGCTTTACTACAGGCAGTTCACTCCCTATTGCATAAAGGCAGGGGTCATAGTGAAGGAGGTGGATGTTAGGTCTACTAGCAGGTTATAAAAAAAATGCCTGGAAATGAGTAGCTGTCTCATTAAGCTCAGTAATAAGTTTGCTGTTGGTGTCCATTGAAAGAGGTGTTGAAATGTGTTGATGGGACAAGGTTCAACAAGACCAAGTGCTGAGTTTGACTTTGGCCACAGCAATTCCAGGTAATGCTACAGGCTTGGGGCAGTGACTGGAAGACTGTGTTGGGGGTGTCGGTTGATGCTCTTCTGAATGTGAGCCAGCAGTGTGGCCAAGAAGGCCAATGGCATCCTGGCTTGTATCAGAAATGGATCTACTAGCAGGAACAGGGAAGTAATTGTCCCCCTGTATTCAGCTCTGGTAAGGCTGCACCTTGAGTACTGTGTTCTATTTTGGGCCCCTCAGTGCAGGAAAGGCACTGAGGCCCTGGAGTGTGCCCAGAGAAAGGCAATGAAACTGGTGAGAGATCTGGAGCACAGGCTTTATGACGAGTGGTTGAGGGAACTGGGATTGTTCAGTCTAGAGAAGAGGAGGGGTAGGGGAAACCTTATTGCTCTCTATAACTACCTGAATGGAGATTGTAGTGAGCTGGAGGTTGGCCTCTTCTCTCATGTGACTGGTGATAGGACCAGAGGGAATGGCCTCAAGTTGCGTCAGTGAAGGTTCAGACTGGACACCAGGAAATACTACTTTTTCCAAAGAGTGGAATGGGCTGCCTGGGAAGGAGGTGGAGTCACTGACCCTGGAGGTGTTCAAGGAGAGTTTGGACGTTGTGTTGAGGAATTTGGTTTAGTGATCACTATTGGTAATGAGTGGATGGTTGGACTGAATGATCTTATAGATCTTTTCCAACCTTAGTGAATCTGTGATTCTATGATGATGCATTGTTTTCTGCATTGGTATCATTCCACTTAAATGAAAACTTCTTTTCTCATCTCTGTAAATGTCTGTATTGATTAACACTGTAGTGAATCAGGAATCCCTATTACTTTAGCATGTGCTAAGATCAGTGTAGTTAGTAGTATTTCTGCCTAAGAAAGGCATTACTGTATCTGATTGTAGGCAGATCACCTAGTAGTAACTTTAGAGGTTAAGTATAATTATGCAGTTCTTACATTGTCCAGCAGAATTACACTTAAGATAACAAACATCTGTGTCTCTTGCTTTTTTTTTTTTATGACAGACTGAAAAATATCCTGTCCAAGACACCGGAGTACCTAAAGGTAAATACTATGAATTCTGTCTTTTAGGTTATGTGTCACAGATCCTTTTTTTTTCCTAGATGTTTATATTTTGAATGTAGTGTCACCTTCTGTATTTTAGGTCAGTTGAACATGTGTGCATATACACACAAATTTTTGTTTTTCTGCCAAAGTTTAGTCACAGCTCTCATCAGAAGGTATAGGTTCTCAGCCTGGAAGAAAAATACAATGGTGCTGTCAATAGAACAGTGTTCAAAGGATAGAGATCTTTAAAAGGTGGCTTTGAAGAGATTGCTGCCTTCAGATTATCAAAAATACAATTTGATAATACCTCCCCGTTCTCCTGCCTTTGACATTCCCAGCCCTATCACCAGTTAACTCTTCATGCTGGTATTAATACCATCTGCTTAGAAACCTAGCACATTTCTTTGCAGGTTCTGTATTGCACTGAATTCAGTTGCTTGGCTTAGGTAGTGTCACCATCTCCATTATGGCTGCTTTTACATGTGGGTGTTTGCTTGTTTGGTGTGTGGTTGTTTTTTTTTTTGTCATCCCAGTTTTACCATTGGCTTTTCTCCAGGGATTATTCTGTCAAGGTCTTGGTAAAGGAGCACTCTAGAGACACTTGCTGAGAAGTGTGGGACATACAGCATTAGGGTTAAAGAGAAGTTAGCATGTTATGCTGGGCTGCTTAAATCAGCCAGCCAGAGAAAAGGAGAATCTTGTCAGCAAGTGTTCAGTGGAGCAGTAGAATGTGAAGGCTAATTTGAAATCGTAAACTGCTTCCTGCTTATTTGCAGTCAGGTGGTTTGTTACTTCAAAGCTGTTTACTAACAAACTTCTCTGGACACAAGAAATATTACACTTTTTAGTTCCATCCATGACATTTAGTCCCCCTCAGAATTAAATAGATAAATTCCTACAATTCCAATATCGTCAAATTTGTTTGAAATTCAGTATTGTATATTTTAAATATATTTAATTTAAAAATGAAAGCTGTGAAAGGAAGTAGAAATCTCAGTGCTTTTTGTGGGAATGAAATAGGCTTGGTATATTTTTTATTTTATATTCTGCTTCTTCTTGTCAAATGTATAGAGGGCAAGTATCAATACAGCATTTCCTCTTTAGAGTAGGAGGTGATAAAAATACCTCTTCTGTTTGTTTCTGGAATTTCAGGTTGTATTTTTTTTTTATTTTTCAAAATGTTTTCAGTGCTGTAGGTTTTGATATCAGTACCAGATGGCTCCTTAGGTGGTGCTTTTTTCAGTTTGCTCAATAAGAATGAATTCTCAAAACTATTTCTTTAAGAATACAGGCTGAGAAATATAAGCCTGTGAATTAAAAAGTGTCGCAGATGTGCAGACCTGATTCATAAAAACAGAAAATGGTTTGCTTCAGATTTAATGTTTGAATATATGCTTCGCTGACCTGAGGTGGTAGTAGTTTGTTCCTTTTTTGGTCAGTTAATTTACAAACCATTTTGGGATCTAGCTTACCAAAGGTCTTAGCACCCTCTACTGATGATGAATTAAAGGTGGGTTGTGTCAGATTTTCATCTTGGAAAATTAGGCTTAATGTTTGTGTCATATTTTGACTATAATTCTGCTTCTGCTCAGATGTTGAACAAATTTGACAGATAATGTTTTCACACAAATGAATTGGATTTTGATGCCTATAGTCACTTTTTTGGGGGATTTCTTTTTATCTCTGGATCTACAGTTGAAAAGAGAGAAGATGATCCTTATTAAAGGTTTCCCAGCTGGCAGGGGAATGTTATTTGCTTTAAGTTTCAACATAAAAGATGAAAAAGAAGAAAACTGTGATTTCATTTTCTTCCCTCCTCAAGTGTAAGGTTGAATTCTTTGATTCAGATCATATTCTTGAGTGAGATAAGGAAGTATGTTCTTCTTTCTGTTACCTGACACTCCAGAGATAATAGCTGTTCTTCTGTGAGATCTTACCACTTGACAAACAGCAAAATGCTAAAAATAATGTCTCAGCTGTGGAGTGTTAAGGTGTCTATGACAGGTCTAGAATATAACCTTTTATAAGCTCTTGTTAATGGTTAGTAAGCACCTCACCTATGGGATTTGTGCAAATGGTTTCTTGATGAGAACCTTACTAAGTGTGTACAGAGAAATTTGTCTGTTTATGTGAGGTTCACAAAGCTTGTGCATCCCTTATACCACATTTTGAGGGCTGAAGTGAAGCTTTAAAGTGATCAAAATCTGGGTCATGGTGGCAGATGTGCTTTTCAATGGACTCCCAAGGCAAATGATAAAGATGTTTTTGAGGCATTTCAGTGCTTCAGGAAATTGCTGTGTAGTAGAGTTAAGTAGGATGAGCCTAATTCACAAAGGAGCAGAAGGCAAACATTTGTGTAGTACATACTTCAATGGTGATTATTATAAATGTGATCTGAAGAGCAAAGCAGAAAGGATTATATTGGTTTGTAACAGCCTTCTTCAGCCTGCCTTGATGTGTTGGCTTGGTTAATATTCTATTGGTACTGCTCCTGGTCAGCTTCCTGAAAGAACTTAATTTTGGCCACAAAAATAATGTGCTGGTTGTTTTTAAAACACCGATACACTAGTACTTGATCTCCACAGGCATTATTTTTCTTAACACATGTATTCATGACTGTTGCAGCTACTGCCAATTTATTGTTTGGGGCTTTTTAATCCTGCCTTTCCCAGTGACTGAGCAGAATGTGGAGTTAAATTTTGCATGCTGGGCATCTGTAATATATGATTGATAGTCTTAACACGTATCTGTATCTGAGTGTGGAAGACCAGTGTTTTACAATCTTTGTCTTAGATGAGGAATACCAAACAGATCAAGTTACATTGGAAATTGCATCTGTGAACATCAGGAGTCTTACGTCAGATTCTGGCCTAGTCCAGCAGGTAAGAAAAAAATTGTACTGAATGTGAAGTTTTTGTTAAGTTATTGCTGTTAATTAAATACATATCTTAACAAATATATTTTCAGACTGTATGTGGAAAGTGCAGAATTACTCAGTAAAAGACCAGAAATCAGCTCTCTTTTCCAGTGTTCAATGAAGTGAGCTTTTGTGGGTAAAAGCAACAAAAGCATATGTAATAATTAACGTTTACTTTGTTTTGTAAGTAGGTTTTGATTAGTGTATAGATGCTCTTGAGGAGAGCCAACACAGAGTTTAGGCTTTGTCATGCGTGTTCTCCCTCTTCCCTGATGAAGATAGAGCCAGGACAGAGAATAAGGAGGGAGAATCCTGTGTTTTGCCCTAGGGAGGCACTTGGTTGTTCTGCTTTGACTTTGGGACATTGCTTGATCTGTACTGAAAACTCTCCACTGATTGTGAAGTCTTAAGCTGCTGAACAGTGGGCAATGTTGAGCAGTCCCTACCATGGTGCTCTGTAGTGTAGGCATCTTTCAGATGACTGTTATTTGCTGAATTTCAAATTGATTCTCTTTGGGTTGAAGACTTGGAGGAGATAAATGAATGAGCATTGTTCAGCAAAAAAAGGAGCTAAAAGGAGCTCCTCATGCCAGAGTCCCAGCTGACTTTCATCAAACAACCATGAGTTTGGTATGCATTTCACGGATGATGGAGGTAACTGTCTAACTTCCATCATCAAGAAGAGAGCTTCTGTTGCCCATATACAGTCACCGTAAATATATTTCATCATACTAGGCTGTTAATAGTTCTACCGAGCTGGAAAACTTTCTGCTCATCTACAGACTGTGCATAGGTTTATAGCTTTGATTAAATGTGTAAAAGTTGGTGGGATTTTGGCTGTAGGCAAAAAAAAAAATTAGTCATGCCTAATATGCCTAACTTTATGGGCAGTGACAATACATTGTCTTATTTCAATTACATTACAAGAATGCAATCTTCAATAATCCTGAGGGCATACAATTTAACAAGTGTGTAATAACTGATCAGTAAAAATACCAATTTGGGGAATGAATGACAGAAGTAAACATCATGTATATTTTTGTACTTCTTGCAGTACTAGCTGCTCCTGTTATCTTTTTTTGGTAAGATGTGAGTATAGTGACATCTCTTGAAGGTTGTTAGGTCTTTAGGTATTAGCTTCCACCATACATTTTGAATGCTCATGAGCTCACAGTGTCTGGGAAAGTTCATTGAAGCTCAGAATAGCACTTAGCAAACTATTTGAGAAATATCCATTTTTCCTTTTTTTCCCCCCATCCACCTCCCTCCCCCCCCCCTTTGGTTTTGTTTGTTTCTTTATTCCTCTTCAAACAGAGGTTGATCTGTGATGGGTAACTCTCCAAATAAACTCTTCTCCAAATAAATTACTCTTTGGGGGATTTGTTCCTCATGACTCAATACTTTTCTGCTTCTAGAGGAATTTGAGGAAATTGAAACAGTGATTATAATCATCATTTTCAGATCCATTTTTTTGTCCTTTTCTAACCAGATCTTCAAATGATTTGGAGATAGTTTACTTTCTTTGTAATTGGACTGTGTGTGTATATGTATCCAACAGATGAACTGAAAGTTCCTGTGCTCTATTTTTAGGGGATTTCTTAGTACTGAAGGTTTATTAGGTAGGAATATAGAGTACTTATTACACTTCAATGTTACACAGTTGACTTGTGTTTGCATGCACAGCCTGCAAAATGCTAAGAAGCTTGCTGTGATAGTTAGGAAGAATGATGCAATATGAAAATCAACATTGCTTTATTGCAGTTATCTGAGGGGAAAATCCCCTCCTGCTTTCATCTTTAAATCCTCAGTAGAAGAAAGCTATTTCATCTGGTTCCACACCCGCATAGTTAAAGTAAGCGCAGCTGCAGTTTCCTATAGTCTAGGATCAAGCTGCTGTCCTTTCAGTTTTTATATGTTGCTTTGTGAGTTATAGAATTGAAGTTGATACCTGTGGTGCAGTCTCAAGCTGCTAAATATTGTCACTGTATTTAAGTAGAGTGGTGTTTGCTTCAAACAGGACAGTGGTTAGATGTGAGCTGGCAGAAATCTTCAAGACCACCTGCTGTCTAGAAAAGTAGGAAAGTTTCCTATGAATGTCAAGGAGTTTATAAGAAAGCTCCTCCAGTTTCAGTAGACCAGTGGAACATTCCCTTCCTGTTTTATGTTCCAAGTAAAGATCTCAAATTTTTTTTATTACAAAGCATTTAAATCTTCTTAAGCAAACTATGAGTTGTTGGGCATCTTTGTCCACATCACTTAAAAAGGTACTTTTTTGTGTACAATGTTAGCAACTTTTCACGACTGTATACAGGGAGGTCATTTCATAATTGTTGGTAAATGCCCAGACTATCAAATGGTGAGGGCTGTAATTGGTTTTGAGTTGATCATCAGTCAAATGTAGGAAATTAAGCAAGAATGAAAAACAGGACAGGAAGAAAGGGATTAAGAGCAAATTATTCAAAAGGTGTAACCCCATAGTATATGATCAAAAAGGATGACATTGTTCAATAGATAAAAATGTGAGTGTTGCTTTGTGAGGTAAAATCATAAAAAATGCTATCTAAAATGGCTACACATTATTAGTAATTTCTTATACTAGGTAAGTACTCTATCTGACTTTATCAAGTAGCTTGGGGATTCTTCTGTGGATTCTTCTATGTAATCTCCTGACACTTAAAAATGAGCCAAATAGTTATTCTGGTGTTCAAGTGCAGTATTTTGATTTACGTTTGTTCTTTGCTTTGTAGCCAGAAGACAAAGACACTCAAAACCATTCTGACAAATCGCTTTCAGGTAATATGTCAGCTTTACTGTTCTACGTATTTTATTCCTACATTTTCTTTGAAAGGACTTTATTAAAAACTGCTACGTGTCATAACCTAGAAGTACCTGGGTAATCAATGCTTGTGGCACTCATTTCATTACCACTGCCTTTTATAGCTACCCCTTTGTTCTAGAAGGGGAGGCAATCAATAACACAGACCATACAAAATGAGTAAGTTACTCTGACCAAATGCACCTAGTGCAGCCACCTTCAAAGGAAATCTGAAAGCAGCTATTGAGAGAGCAGAGGTGGGGGTTTATCGCGTAGTGTTTTCAGCTTGGCTGGGAGTTGGTGGCTGATACACAGCCCTGTTGATATAACAGTGAACAACTGAAAATTAACTTTCTGTAAAACAAGAAGAAAAAAAAACTTGTCATATAATGTTAGGATTGTGCTGGTAGGTAGGTCATGTGCTCTGATACAAGACATCCTTGGAAAGCAGGATTCTCTGTAACACTTCTGACAATCTGGTACAGCACAAGCAGCAGGTTGGTTCAGTTTTGTTTACCTTTAATTGTGCCCTTTGCTTTCTTTACCCCTTCTTCCCTATTTCTGTGGGAGGATAAAACATACTCTGGCATCCTTGCAAAGCAAGTAAGATGAAATTCAGATAGGGCGCTCTCCTGCCCTTTGAGCTCAGCCAGAACTTTTACTGGGTTACATTCATTTTGCCTTGTTTGTGTAAGTAAATCCTAGTATGAGTGAGTCCAATAAATTTTGTCTCACTTCAGTGAGTGCTTAAGATGCACAAGAAGAGCAGAATTGCCGATATTAAAAATTTCTTAGAACAGCTGTGAGGGCTGTGGAAAACCTGGGAGCAAAGATGTTGCCAGAACATTTTTCCCTTTAAAAGGGAATCTGAGCATTTGTATGAAGTTATTTGTCTCCAACAGTGTTCTTGCTGCACGTCTGAACTTGCTGAAAACATCAGAAGCTGTCTTTAGCCTGCTTAAAAAGAAGGCTTACGAGCAGCATTACAAAAATAACAATAGCCTGTTCTTCTCTTAGGGGGGGAAAAAAAAATGTTTACAGATGCTCCGTTCACCTTAGTTGCTTTAATCAGCACTAATATTCAGCATAAAAAGTGACCTTTTGAAGGTCTTTCTGGAAATTTTGCACAATTTTACAGTTAATGCAAATGGAGCAAAAAAAATTAACTGATGCTGTTACCTGTTAGGTTAGGTGGTACTGACGGCCAGATTTGCTCTTTTCCAGAGATATTGTTGAAGTCTCTCAGACCAGCACTAATCCAGGACTTACAGATCAGTGTCACTGTTTCCATTGTCATTTGACACTGAAACACTGTCATTGTTGTTCTTAATCTGTTTGTTTATATCAGTTTTCTTGTTGCTGCATTCTTTTTTCAAAGGGTTTCATCCCAAGTAGGACTAATTACTTTGCCATTTCAGGCTGCACGATGAGGGAGGCCAGGACTTTTAGGAAGTACTTCTAGGCTGCATTCATTACCTGCTGCTCTTTGGATGTACCAAATTCTCCCTGCATTCAAAAAGGAGCTCGTTAAGGTCATATCTACAGTCAGAGTGCTGAAACAATGCCTTAGACTACTGCAGTACTAGAGATCTTAGTATTTAACTAGAAGCATGATTAGAAATGTTTATATATATATTTCATTTACAGGTTAGTAATATGTAATATATAATATACAGATCTGATAGGACTGCATTGTTCTCAGTGCTAGGCAGACGCTGTTGTGTGTGGGAGACCTCTAAATGGCAGTTCTTCATTTGATGCAGATTTTGGAACATATCACCACCTACTTCCAGTATCTTGGTATTCTTATTTTTCTCACACGTGGAGGAGTATGTGCTCTATTTCTTTCTGTAATGTACACTCAGAATAGGCTTGCTTAGTAGAGCAGAGGCAATGTTATTGTAAGAGCTCTTACCAAACAAAGGAACATATTTCTATCTTGCTGCTGTGTTAAGATTCTCCTGGCACAAATATTTAGTGGTGTTATAAAAGCAGCAGTTCAGAAATATGAAACTTTTTTCCGTTGTCCTGCAACATATCTATACAGGATGTGCATAATCTGCATGTATTCTTGTTAGTGACATATGTGGGGGTCATGGCAGACTAAAGGATGGAATGTAGCTAGCAAAAAAAAAAAAAAGAAAGGGGGGGAGTACCCACACTTAAATAAATTGCACAGTGTTTATAGAAAAGGGAGAAATGTGACTCAGAAGTACTGTCCTTTTGATTATTACCCATTATTAACAAAAAAAACGTGTTAGGAAATTAACTTCATGAGTACTTCATGAGGAAAAGCAGCTGCATGTCAGTATTCTGACTTCTTCAGAAATGATTCATGGGATTATAATACTCTTCAAACTTTTGTGCTTTTGAATTTCTTCCAATTAAACCACAGCAGTAGATCCTAACTTCTCTCTATATGATGGTTTTAACTACAGATCTCAAGAAAGCCTGCAAAGAAAATAGTACCTGCTCCTTGTGCTTATTCCATGCACCGACCATCAGTGACATGCTCAATGACGAGGACTTGTTGTACACAGTGAGGCTAAAGCTGGATCCCTGCCACCCAACAGTGAAAAACTGGAGGAATTTAGCAAGCAAGTGGGGGATGACTTACGATGAATTGTGTTTCCTTGAACAGAAGCCTCAGAGTCCCACCTTGGAGTTTTTGCTACGAAATAGTGACAGGACTGTGGAGCAGCTGATTGAGCTCTGTAAATTTTATAAGAGAATTGATGTTGTGAAAGTGCTACTGAAGTGGGTGGAGGAGGAATGGCCCAAGAGAGGAAAAAGAAGTTACCAGAACGACTTGTAGGTCAAAGAAAGTGTTAGTTCCTGCTTGTTATATGTTGGAACTAGCTGCAACTAGTAGATGGGAAGTTTCTCTTGTGACAGAGAGACGGTCTGTGCTGGCAGTCTGTATACTGTGTAAGCTTTTGTACTGTATACACATATGTATGGTCTGTGCCCTCAGGGTTGTAAAGGTAACCTTTCAAAAGTGGGTAGAATAATGCAGGTTGTGTTTTTGAGTCTACAAATGCTTATTTTCTTCGCTGCTGTTTGTAGGCTTCATAAGCAGAAGATTGAAAAAGCCAGACCACTGGTATAATTGCAGCAGTTGTGAGCCATGTCAGTCAGTTGTGTGGTGTTGCTGCTGGGAAAGCTGCAATTAGAAGGCAAGTCTCTTAGCTTTTCTGATAGCCTTTCCACAGTTTTTGTGTTCTTCCTGCTAGAAGACAAGAGGATATTTCTTTTCTTTCTAATTTTTAGGCTTTGTGACACTGTATTTGGCACAGACACGACTTGATTGTCCAAGCAGCAGTTTGGATTTCCATGTTTGAATTAACTAAATGTTTGAACATCGCATTCAGGCAAAATTAAATTGAGTTTCTTTTTACAAACAGGACTAGATGTTAAAATAATTGCATGTTTCTACATCATAGGGTATATTTCCTATGAAGAAATCATCTAGTTCAGAAATACTTTCCAGCCCATAAATGCCCTTCACCCAAATAAACTAATTCAGAAAACCCCACCACAATTAAAATGCTTTATAGTTAAAATTAGTTTCCATAGTTTGGAATAAACTGTTCACTCTGAGCATTCCTTGATATTTTGCTCAAATGCCTCTAATTTTGCAGTATGAGGCGATAGGGAATGTCTCACCCACAGTGCATCCTTAGTATCAGAACAAGTGTAACTTCCTTGTTCATAAACTGTGGTTTTCTTGACAGCTTTCCAGTTGTCTGATCTACTTTCTGTCCTATACCAAAGTGGTTGTACGCTTCCATGAAAGTAGACCAAGTTTATGTATTGATTAAAGCCACTGTAGTGGGAAATCCGCAGGTGGATTTGCCTACGGATCTAAGTGGATGGCCATTAAAGCACCTCTGTTGGTTTAGACTGATATGTATCAAAGACTGTTGATATACTGAAATACACTGTTTACAATGAAGATATTTCTAGAATTTTGTTACCATTCTTTGGTATTCTAATGGTTTAAAAAAAATACTGAAAACTGAAAAATCCATTGTATAATAGGCTGTATAAAGTACTTATTGCTGAAATGCCACTTACACCAATGTTGTTACTTAAATATTTCTAGCTGTCACCCTTACTATAACATCTCAGATGATACTAATATGTACATAGATGTATGTAATGTAGCAGTGGTGAACAGTATGTCAAGATGCTGGGCAAAAGTAGAGTGGGGCATGGATGATGTACTGTTCACTTCACCCAAGTAGGAATTAATGGCACAGCTGAGGAAAGTCTGTCAGGTTGCATTCTGAGTTTCTTATAGGTACTGGCACAAAAGGTTACTGAGGAGTTAAATGTAAAGACTAACTTTTGGTTTCAAGCACCAGTTAGTTCTGGGGATGATCTAAATTAGCTTTTCTGCAGTGTCCTCAAGAAACTGAAGATCTAGTTGCAAGGTAAGAGGAGTGACCTACAGTTGATGTTTGAGTTTTTATTTTTTTTTTAAAGATTGTGGGAAACTGGAGTTTTGACAACTATTTGTATATAACTTTAATCATTCCTCAGAAAAGCTGCTACTCTTCAGAACAGTATGTTTTCTAGCCATATTTTTAAAGTGGAAGATTTTTTGCTCTGTTTTGAAGGGGCTGCAGTTCCAATGCTTCACTTTCGTTGTCTTCCGATGGAGTCTTCTGATAGATGTGTGAACTCTTGCTGCTCATCTTCTGCCTTTAGTTAGGGGTTCTGGAATCAGCTTTAAGGATTGCTACTGTGGCTAGGTTCTCTGCTAGTTTCAATTTGTACAGAGGTATCCACTGTGTACATGCAAATTGCCCATATGCAGCTTGTCCAACATAATCCCTGTACCTTGGGCCCACCGCATGCATGATTTATGATCATGTGTCTGTGTCTTAAGAAGCTCTTATGAGTGATGAGGACTGGCATGTCTACCCACAGCTTTTTTTCTCCTGTAACCTAGTACAGTTATATGCACATGGTAGTGCAGTATGCTTTGCTGTGGATGCAGTCCATTAAGGAATCTAGCTGAAGCCCTTATATGATGGCTCACAAATGGGAACACGCACTGATGCAGTATCATTTCTGAATCAGGAAGTCCAACTGAAATCTACTCTTTTTCCCGTTTTCTGGCTACAGTTTGTAAGCTTTTGAACAAACACTGTTGCCTGGTGGAAGCTAATTTTGATCCTCTGGAACTCTTGAAAAATCAATGTCAGCTGCAAGGATTCATATTGAAAATAAAGCTGCTTTTGAGAGTTTATATGAGGGTTCTGTGTGAGTTCAGCACTGAAGGCTGAAAGCGTTAGCATTTAACTTCATCACACACTGGGTAACTCATTTGTATACTTGAAATATTTTTTCATCTTTGTATGGCATGAATTGAGGTGTACACAATTTTTTTTTAGTTTTGTATCTATTTACAAGATACTGAGTCTGAGTGTTCACTTTAAGCATTCTTGTATCTTTTGTTATAATGTATACTATGTTTAGAAAAAATATAGTTTATCAGTAACTTTATTGTATTTGTTTTTATTTCTTACAGCTAGGAAAACAGCTGTGTTCTTTCTCATCGGTCACCTTGGAACTACTGAACTATCAATTAGTAGTGCTAAGTAAAAGCATTGTAATATGCAGAATCCATAGCTTTTTAGAGCACTTATGTTTGGAACAGATACTGCCAAGGAAGATATATTTTCATAAAGGAAAGAGAAAAAGAGTATGTTGTGATAAGATGTTGAATAAGGCTGCTTATCTAGAAAACTTGCAGTGGTTACCAAAGAGAGGTATGGCGCCTACACTGGGTGAACTCTCTCTGAATTAATAATTAAACTGATAGCAAAAGCTGGATAATTGCATGTACACTGTAAAGATTCTGCTAGACTTTTAATTTTATTCCATTATACCTTTCTCATATTCCCACACTAGACCTGCTCTCCCTTCATTTTGTGATTTTTTTTTTTTTTTTTTTTTTTTCCTGCCACCTATACCTGCAGGATGTATGGTGTATAGATATGGCTCTTTCCACCCACTTTAGGTTCAGGAAGATGTCCAAACTTCTGCGTTCTTTTCATTCCTACAGCATTAACTGTGTGCACACTAACTGCAGCAAAGGTACAGTGCTCCAGGAGCCTTTAGTTTTCCTGTGAGGCCAGCTGCGGGGTATCACCAAAAAGAGTGACAGAATCCAGTTGCCTTACTCACTACATGCACTTCCCTGTGATCTTCGGATGAGAGTGCAAAATGAAGTTTTGAGCTGTCCTTTGGAAGACTATTGTAAAGAACAGGGTAGTCAGCATGGCCCCAGGTGTTTGCTTGGAAGCAGTTGTGCAGAAATGCTCAAATTCTCTTCTTCCTGAACTACTGTGGTATACTGCAGAGCTGCAACTTAAGTCAATGCAGTATCTGGTTCAAGGAACCTCATTTTTCAGTTTCAAGCTGACTGCCTCCCACACTTGCAAGTTAAGCTGTGAGCAAGTGGAAAAAATGTAAATTCTGCCTTATGGTAGTGTAAATTGTGGTAACACTGTTGACATGTGGCCACACAGCTGAAAATTATCAGGCACAGCAGAATTGTTTAAGCAAGGTCAGAGAGAGTGCATGGCATTTATAGTAACTTAAAGATCAGTCTGCTTCTGTAGTTTTTGCAGCATATTATGTTCTCCCATCCACGAAGAAGTGATTTGTTATTCATAACTAATTTTAACACATTTTGTAAGTCTTAAGTTTTGGGTCAGTGTTGGACGGTGGGTCAGAACACTATGAAATGAGGACTTGGGCTTGTTTCTTCTTGTGACAGTACCGTATTTCTTGGCTCAGCTAGTCCTGTTTGCCTGGCTACAGTGAGTTACGGCTTTAGCTGGGTGGGAAGGGTATGCATCTACTGGGCAAGTAGGCTGAATGTAAGGAGCAATGAGAATAATTTATTTGGGTAAGGTAGACTTCACTTTGTAAGCATGCATATTGGCCAATGGTGTGGGATTGTCTCTGTTTTATAAAGAACTGATGCAAGCAGAGGCTGATAGACATGAAAAAGCTCCTTTATATCATCTGATGGTGGTGGGAAGGAAATCAAAGAGCCAGGCAGACTTGCTAGTTGGTTGGATCTCTGTATTTTACCTTCATAAAATAATGATTCCTGATTTCAAAGAGAAATAATTGGGATAAAAAATTTAGTTCCTTTCGGCTGCATCTTTCAACTTCTTGAGAAGAATGTAGTACTGCGTGAGATAGGTATGCAACTTTATGCATCTACATAAAGGTGCTTCTTTTTTTGAAGAGTTTGTTTCAAAATTATGCAATACTTAGTTTGAGAATGCTTTTTGTCCTCTGCAGATAATCAGATGTTCATATTTTTGACATAGTCACAAATCACAGCTATAAGATTCTTAACAGGAAGAGCAGGGATAAGAAAAAAATGGTCACCTAAATCTTTACAATAGCTGTGAGTTTTTTCTTTCATGTTTCATGCCTAATATATGTGAGCATCCCCCTCTCTGCTCAAAATTCAGATCGTTCTCGATCCTGTGAATAGTTCAATAGATTTTGGTTTAGATCCTAATTCTCTGAAGCTGAGGAGTCCATCGGCTCAGTAAGTACATCTGTAATTGCTTCTTCTCTAATCATTAGAAAGTACCTACCATCTCGCGGTCAGAGGTGGTACTGCAGATGCTTCATTTATCTTAAAAATGGAGCAATACAGTGGAAATGAGCACACTTGCAGCTGTGAAGACTCAGTGGGGAGATCCAAAGGTAACTGCAGTGAGGATGATGGTGTAGCCCTGGGGATCTTGGGTTTGATCATGCTCTGGTTTGGTGAATATAACAAAAGTTCTCTGCTTTGCACAGATGTATGATATTTGTCACCTGCCTAGGGTAGGAATTGAGGCGTTATGTTTTTGTAGACCTTAGTACAATCACCTGTTGGGAAGAGCAGACAGAACAGGCATAGGTATGGGTTTGCTGTACTATCCATTGCGGTGAGAAAGATAATTATCCTGATTATGTATCAGAAGCTCATGTAAAAGCTTGTTACTATCAGGCAGGTTGTGATTGTACCAAAGAATCCAGTTTAGCTGCTAACAGACTTGTAGTTGGTGAGCATTGTGTTTATCTGAACTAAGAATTTTTTGTCACTATTAGATTGAACTACGTACTTCCAAAAGCTCTGTTCTAATTATTGGATTGTATTCTGACAATGCTGTTGAAGTGTTACATCAATCTCTTCTCCAAAGTGGAAAAGGAAAAAGAATACATTGTAAATGAAAGCTAAATATGTGGAAAGACGGAGTTTGTAGGGATACTTGAGTCTTCCTTCAGATGGTAACTCTTGGCCAGGGACAGCTGTTAAATTTGCCTTAGCTGAAATAGTCTTGAGAAAGTACGTCTGTTTCTCCGGCAAGCAAAAATCTGCTGGAGTATGTGAAGACAGACTGTGCTAGCTGTGTGCTAGTAACACAGTCCCAGCAATGGTTGTGTGCTTGGGAATTCAGAGGAATTGTAGTTTTGAAGGCAAATGTTTGAATTAGGACTCCAACTGTGAATATGAAGGAAGATCTTGTGATTTGCCATCACAACCGCCAGCAGTAAGTGGTGATAAAAGCAGTGATCAGAGGGAATCAGCAGAGAAATAGCAGTCTATGAACTAGACAGTTGTACTGCAGTGCAGGGTTGCTCCAGCTGAACCCCAAGTGTCTCACTGTCAAAGGCATATTAGGTCTGAGAGCTGAAAAAGGATTTTTCTGCAAATTCTAGGAACTGCTTCTGACTTAGCCTTCAAAGAAATGATCAGCACATTAATTGAACTGTTCTGCTTCAATAGAGAACTGGTACATACTTCAAATCCGTTTATTTCCTTTGGATTGCTTCTTCTCAATGGAGAAGAACCCTGGGTCAGAAGTGGGAGCAGAATTTTATTTTGTGGGTTTTCTAGAAATACCTCAGCTTACTGCCCCTTTCCCATATCGCTGTTTTCACTGCAACCCTCAAGTGTCTCCACTGTCTCTGAGATGGAGTTTCAAATCTACTTTGAGATTGCTTTAAAATATGGAGAAGTGAGGGGGTTTCCACAAGCTTGTGTTAGTCTGGGTTGTCGAAACTTTGAGCTCTTCAAACTGGAGTGTCTTGGAATAATAGCTTCAAATGGAAGGTCAGTGCTAGTTTAGGCTCTGAGTCTTCATTCTCCTTCAGCTGCACTGGAGTTATGTAGAACATCTCATAGCAGCTTTCTGCTACTGTCTATTTACAGACAACAGTTACTGGTCTTGTCTTGAAGCCCTCTGTGATCCTAAATGAAGCACCTTTCCCCAAGCCATTGGCTTTGCTACTCTTTCATCTTTGTTATCTGTGATTCTGCACAGAAGAAATGTCCTTGTCATACCTTTCTGCAAATGAATCCTTTGATGCAGGTGAGCTGATGTATCCTTGAAGCAGCTATCCTACAGCTATTACGTATGGTGTGCAATGTATTTTCTGCTTCTCTCCTGACATGCTAGTTAAATGTGGAATACGGAAAACTTTGCTGTTATTACTTGCTGTGACACGTGCGCATTGTGTGGGGCACAGGGCAGTGCTCAGAACGGGGAAGGAGGGAGAAGATAGTGAAGGCTTTGGAGGGCAGGAGGTGTGAGAAGCAGCTGAGGGCTCCTGGGTGTGCTTATAGCAGAGGAGCTGAGGGGAGGCCCGATGGCGGCTGCAGCTCCTCGCAGGGAGCGGAGGGGCAGCGCTGAGCTCTGCTCTGTGTGGCAGCGGCAGGTCCCGAGGGAACGGCATGGAGCTGCGTCAGGGGAGGGGCTGTGGGGTTGGGGATGGGCACAGACCCGAGTGTGGAGTTCAGGGAACGTTTGGGCGTCGCTATCGGACGTGGGATTTCGGTGTTGCTGCGTGGTGCCGGGATTTGGACTCGACGATCCCTTCCAACTCGGGGTATTCCGCGACTCCGGACCTGCCGCCGCCGCGCCACACCCCACCCGCCCTCAGCCTCTCCGCCGACTGCAGCGGCGCGCTGACGTCACGGGCGGACGTTGGCAGCGGCCGGAGAACGGCTCGCAGCTGCGGCGGTGACGCGTCAGGGCGGGGCGATGTGTGCGCGGGGCGGGCTGGGCCCCGCGGTGTCGGGAGGCGGCTGGGCGCTGAGGTGAGTGTCAGGCGGTCCTGGGGGGGGGGAAGGGGGCGATAAGCCCGCGTCTGTCCGTGTGTGGGGGCTGTGGGGAGAGCGGTCGAGGTTTAAGGTTTCCACTAGTGATGAAGCCGGTCCCGGTTGCTCCGTGGCTCTGATGTCGATTAGCTTGTTGTCCTGCCGGGTTTTTAGCTGGTTGGGGATAGTGGCCCTGGTTGAAGTATCTTGCTTTTGTTTTTCTTTGCTTTTTACTTTTCTTTTTTTTCTTTTTTCTCAGAATCCCCCTGTGCCCCAGTGTAAAATCCTGCTGCAGTTACTGCCCCGAGCCTGGCTTGTCCTCCTGAAAGACGTTTTGTGTGTGCCATAAGGTGCCGGTGCCATAGCCATTGGCCTTTCTGACTCCTTGTTTCTCACTGAACGGGCTTTAACTGCTTTGCAGTCCGTGAGATAACAGCCCAGCACGCACATCTGCATCAATTCTAGACACGTAGGCAGTAACCTTGTCTTAGCATTGTAGGCTCAGAATTTGCTGTCGCATTTCCAGGCAGCAGTTCTGTGATGGAAGATGACACAGGACCTGGCAGTTCTGTGCCCATCTCCTGTTTAGCTACATGGAGCCTGACTTGTGGCTTCCCCTCCTTGCTGTCACCTTTCCCATAAAACTGCCAAACCAGTCACTTGGCCATATTGCCACCTAGCGTGCCAGGATTGATGTCTTCATCAATCCTGTTCAGGTTTCAATCAATCAGTTCAGCTGTATGGCACTAAATTGTGGCTGTGGTTCTGTTCTTTGCTCTTGTTAGGGAGACCTATTTGCGTGCCAAGGAAAGCATAGCGAGCAGGCTGTTGTGCAGCAGGCTTTAGATCTGGGAGTTGTTTCTTTGATTTGCTGTTGGGCTTGACAGTGTTATACTCGGAACTACTTCTTGTGCTGCCTCAAGTACCTTACTTTAAAAGCAAAAATAGTGGGATTTTCCTGCTTTATCACGTTCCTGTTGTGAATTTGTAGTGATATCCTCTGAGAAGATTAAAGGGGCAAAACAGGTGCACAGGGTAGGCCAGACATACAACTCTGATGTTCCCTAAAATGTGTTTTAGACGCTGGTCCTGAGTAGGAGAGATAATGCCCTTCTGGCCCAAATTTCCCCCAAGATAAGCCACATGTTGCAATGGGTCATGCCACTGATGAGTCATTGCAGAAGGTCACAGACTATTTAGTGCCTAGCAGTTTCACACAAAACTTTTTCCTTTCTCTTTTTCCTTGCCTGCCACTCTTCACCACACAGTTTGCTTGTTAACTTAAGGTGTTTCTCCAGAATGTGCGTGGAAGAACAACCTAGTGGTTTTGAGGTTGGCTTGTGAGCTTTGATTGCTTTCTTAGAAGATGTGCTAAAGAAATGATAATGTAGCTGGATATTCTTACAAGCTATTTTTTCTTTTCTTATTAGTTCTTTATATTTAATGCATGTTTTGCAGAGTTCTGTAGTTATTTGTAGAGTTTAGGAACTGTGTGTGTTGGGAGAAGAAATGCCCTTTACTTCCTGCTGTGTCTTTGGCCGGTATCCCTTAGCTTCATGTAAGATAAAGCTGAAAAAAAGAAGTTCATCCCCTAGCACTTATTGCCAGGTTACTCAAGGGTAACGGCACCAAAAGCGAATAAAAAATAGCTGTTTATTTTGGGAAAACACATTTGTACTGTGGATCTTTTCCTAGGCTGCAAGTAGGGGTCAGCTGGAGAGTAGTGAAGACCTATCTGAGGGTTATCCATGTTGCCCTGTGCAATACTGATTTTTATACAGGATTCTGTCTCAGTATACATAATCTCAGGAAGCAGCTGATGAAACTGTGTACCTGTGTGCGTTGTCCCTTGCTAGGATGGCATGTTACTTCTTTAACGAAGCCTTTAGTTTTGATGTTTCAAAACTTGACCAAACTTATTGGAAAGACATTTAAAAATATACTTTGGAGAATTTAACTTCATGTAGTGCCATTTTTGTTTTTCTGATTAAAACTTTTGGCTTTTTAAAGGGATCCACGCCTTGGTGCAGCCAGATCAGTGAACCTCTGAATACGCTCTGAGAGAGGTCACACAGGACTGACAGACTTGAACTGGAGGAGGGAAGATGATGTCCTTGGATGGACCGCAGAAGAAAATCAGTAACCCGGTAACTCTTATGTCAACAACTCCTCCCCCGGAAGTGGAACTCTGCTCTCTAATGTCAGTGGTTAGCAGAGCATTCCTATGGTTGGGAGTGTTACTGAGAGCTCTTGGTGTTGCTCGGGTGTTCGAAGAAGGTCCTAATAGGTTCTGGTATTTCTTTAGTTGTGCTCTGCAGCAATGGCCTTGCAATGGCATGAGCGATGGGCTGGAGCTGTACTTTTCATTTTCTCTTTAAAAACAATTCTTTTAAGCCTTCAGGGAATAGATATTTGTCATAGTTCTAGCACAGAATGTTAAGAAACACTGGGTCTATATAGAATCTCTGTGAAATGTCTGGTGTCACACACCTGTATAGGACTTGCTTATCTTTTCTAGTTCTGCATTGATACAGTTCATTGCCCTCACATGCAACTGACTGTTCAATTCCACTGCTTGTTCATTGCTTGTGAAGTGGATAGAAGTGGGTGATGGGGAAATGGCTTTGGTTTTCTTCACAAGAATCCATCTGGGAGAAGAAGTAAGGCTGTGTGGAGATGGAACTAGAGCTGCAAGGACTGAATTGCAAAAAGGAGGGACGAAGATAGGGGTTTTGGAGCCTGATTTTGATGGAGAAGGAGAGGAGATGTGAAGAGGAAGATTAGTAAATGTACAGGTGGAGTTCGCTATGTAAGGAGAAGAGGAAGAGTTCAGCAAAACTGGATGGCTGTAAGGGAGATGATCAGTATGGTGGGTGACAAGACCAAGCTGGAGAACATAAAGAGGTAAAACTGGGGCTTAGGTATCAAGAGCCTAGCGAGGGAATAAGAATTATTTGGGATTGGAAAATAGAAACAGAGGTGTGAAAGGGTGTTCCGATAAACTCAGGACAGCCTCCAGACAAAGTCTGCAAATTGATCTTTTGAGGCCTTTTAAACTGAGTGTTGGCTAGGTGGCTTTGTGGGGAACTTCTGGAGGCTTATAAGAGTTGGGATGAAGAAAAATCAAGTAGTGTAACGAGCGTTATATTCTCAATGGTGATTTAAAATTAGCACACTTCTCAAGAAGTGAGGAAATGACAGGCATGCTCTGTAATGATGGAACCTCGTTAAGTCTGTAGTATTATGCCCAGGAAATGCTCTATTAGTGCTATGCAAATTCCCAGACAAAAGATGGCTAACCTTTTTCTATTAAATGTATCCTTCTGGATGTAAGAGAGTTTTCTGCTGCAATGTCGCCTCCAAGTAAAAATAATTTTGACCCACTGGAGTATTCAAATTCCAGCATCCCTGGGCTGTGTCTGCATGTTTCTTATTGGTTCATCTTTGGAGACTGAACCAGTAACTTACACCCTGTTGTGATTCTCAAAGCTACTGTCCCTCTCAGGAACAGTGTGTTTAAACTGCGTTACGCACAGAAAATACACAAAATGTATTTATTTATTTGGATAAAATTGAGCATCTTTCTGGGGTGTGTTAAAAAGAGTGTGTCCAGCAGGTGGAGGGAGGTGATCCTCCCCCTATACTCTGCGTTGGTAAGGCCTCATCTGGAGTACTGTGTCCAGTTCTGGGCTCCCCAGTACAAGAAAGACAGGGACCTCTTGGAAAGAGGGCCACAAAGATGGTGAAGGGCCTGGAGCATCTTCCCTATGAAGAAAGGCTAAGTGAACTGGGTCTATTTAGCCTTGAGAAAAGATGACTGTGAGGGGATCTAATCTGGGTTGATAAATATCTGAGGTGTGGGGGCCATAGTGGTGAGGCCAGTCTCTTTTCAGTGGTACGTGGAGACAGGACAAGGGGAAACAGACATAAGCTGCAGCATAGGAAGTTCCGCACAAATGTGCGCAAGAACTTCTTTACAGTGAGGTGACGGAGCACTGGAACAGGCTGCCCGGGGGGGATGTGGAGTCTCCTTCTCTGGAGATATTCAAGTCTCACCTGGACGCCTACCTGTGCGACCTGGTGTAGGGAACCTGCTTTGGCAGGGGGGTTGGTCTCAATCTCTGGAGGTCCCTTCCAACCCCTACAATTCTGTGATTCTTTGTACAACTTGTAGAATAAGGAACTAAGCTACTACACTGCTGCAAGAGAACAAATGAATTCCATGTCTGTTTGTTCTTTCACTTGTAGCATCTAATTCTATGTTTTCCTCTTCCTCTACTGGAGCCAGCTAAGCCAGTAAAATCCACCAGACTTTTTAACAATTTGGTCAGTTGCAAGCTTATAATACTTGTGAAGCAAGTCTGTGATATCTCTAATGTAGAAGATGACTGCAAAGAGAGGTTTTGTGCAACATGTGGGTAGCAGAGAAGGGAAAGAGAGAGACAGAAGGTGGAAATGAGCAACAGTTTGGATTTCAGAGATTTTTTGCTGTCATTCCCACTCTGTTCTTTGCCAGAGTCGTTTTCTTTCCAATCTCTGTTTTTCAAGAAAGAACAAGCAAAAAGGCAGCAGCTGTAGTCTAGTGTTTTGTTTTCTGTTTTTTGTTTTTTTTTTTAAAACCAAACTTGTGTGAGATAACTCCTTCAAGCAGCAAAGGACAATAGTTAGTCTTTGACAATGACCTAATTTGAAGAGGAATTTTCTTTATCAAAAGTGAGGTAGTAAAATATTGCTGTTATTCTTTTGAGAGCTAGGTGTGAAGGCTGTAAATGTTTAGCTTTAATTTATCTGGGAAGGCTGATCTTCAGTGATGAAAGTCTTGGTTTTTCCGTCTGTTTGTGGCAGATATTTAATGCTTTACTAGTGTTTCATTTAAATGGAATACTAGTTGTCTTCCTTTTAATGTGCTAGAGCATCACTTCAATTTAAAATTAAAATTTTCTTAAATATTTAAATTTTAAAATATTGTTTAAAAAACTATGTATTTTGCCTCCATGACAAACTGTTATTTCTGTCTTTTTTCCCTCCCTCTAGGTCATTCCCTATGTTGGGACAATTCATGGTGGCCTTGTTCCTGGAGAGCTGATTGTGATACATGGGAGTGTTCCTGATGATGCAGACAGGTAGTAACTACAGTATCACTTTGTGAATTATCATCAGGTGAACAAACCTGTAATGAATAAAATGTTTCTAGATGTTCTATGTGGGATGGCAGACGATGACTTCATCTTTAGTTGAAGTGGTAGTGTCACAGAATACAAGCTTAAGCCATTTATGAAAGTTTTGTGATGAAAATTGCAGGATAAAGTGACTTTTGTTTTCCATTGATCCTCTCTTCTCTGGTTTTGCTTTGTCTGCTTTGACATTATTTCTGTCATGTCATTCCACGTGACATGTGTATACTTCTCTGAAGAGGTTATCAGTTGAACTTGTACATGATTTCTTGACACACTGAGTTAAACATGGTTTGTCTTATTTTTATGTTTAGGTTCCAGGTGGATTTGCAGTGTGGCAGTAGCATAAAGCCTCGAGCTGATGTGGCCTTTCATTTTAACCCCCGCTTCAAATGGTCTGGCTGTGTTGTTTGCAACACCCTGGAGAGAGAAAAATGGGGCTGGGAGGAAATCACTTATGAGATGCCTTTTCAAAAAGGGAAACCATTTGAGATTGTCATCATGATTTTGAAGGATAAATTCCAGGTGAGTTTGGGTTGATTTTTGTTCCAGTTGTCAGATCAGTAAAAGAGAGGCATATGATTGGAAGCGTTGGTTTCTTTGTTACCTAGTGTGGTCTAATTATAGGAAAGTTCAGGAGTTTTTCTTTGAAGAGATGCTAAGTAAATCACACCTCATTTTGGCCAGTTCCCTTCAAAGTTGCATGAGTAGGCAAGTAACTTTCTGCCGTGTCTAATGATTTTTTCCACTTTTCTGTTCTTGTCCGTAAAAGGCAGATCATACAATAAACCTATTTTGTGAGTAGCATAGGACAGTCCTCTTGATGGAGATATGCGGTGCATTTTCTTGCTTTGTTAGACTGCTAGCAGAGCAATTAGGCTATGGTGACCACATATTATGACCACAGTCATAAGTGATCAAGCAATGAAAGCTAAAGGTATGAAATGCAAATAAATCAAATATCCCTCACAGTAATGGAAAGAGAAACTGAATTGTGGCTGAGCTGAACTTAGTTGGTTTGAAATTTCCAGGATGCTCTCTGCTTCTGTACCAAAGCACTGAAAATAGAGATATGTGAGTATAATTTGATTCACAAGCTGTTTAATGTGACTTTTCCTATTCTTTTTCTTTGTCTCCTTAGGTGTCTGTAAACAAGAAGCACTTGCTGCTCTACAATCACAGAATTAGACTTGAAAGGATAGATACGCTTGGAATATATGGCAAAGTGCAGATCAGAAGTATAGAGTTTGTTTCTAACGTAAGTTTTATAAACAGCTGACTTTTAAGATTCCGTTTCTGTCTCGCTAAACTTTAGAGTAGGATTTATGGTGAAAAGATAATAAAAAAGCAGCTACTTAGTATATCTTCTGTAGTAAGGAAGGTCCCTGCCTCTCAACTGCTATCTCTATTGGAGAAAGTAAACCAACAGAGAAGAAGTGCAGAAAGAGCGAGTGATTCTTTGATCTGGAAGGATGAGAGAGCAGAAAGGGGAGGTTGTAAATACCAGGGAGGTAAAGAAGACAATGCCTTCCCTTCCTTCTAGCTGCTCATTGAGGCAGCCTATATTTCTATATAATACGCTTGGTCTGTTCTGCCCTGCCTTCACTGCATTAGGGCAAAGTTTGAGTCTCCTGCTGCCAAACACCGGGTCTATTTCAGGTCACCAGACTAATAACCTCCTCTAAAGGAAAGTGAAGATTTGGGCCTGGCCAAAGCAGAGCCTGAGCTTTAAGGATAAGTCTATTCGCTGACCATTTGTAAAGCATATGTACAGACTTTTTTATGAGCCCTGCCACTTGGCCTCGGGTATGTTGCTAGAGAAATGATGCATCAAAGCTGTCTCTGAGGCCCAGTCTTGGAGGGTCAGTTCTAAGAAGAGCCTGGGGACAAGCAGGTGCAGTACGTTCATTTCTGTCCTAAGCACAAAACAAAGAGTTTCTTTAGTCTGTGGTACTGATTCTATATCCTTTGAGGAAGAGAGGAGGGAACAAAGATGATTATTTCCTTTCTGTCTTTGCTTCTAGTGTGTGCTTTTCTGAGGAGGAAGAGTAAGTGCTTATCCTGAAATAAACTGTATGCAATATGCTGTGGATAAGCTGGAATTTTATCTGTGCGTGCCTATATTGTATAAACAAGATATATATTGTTTATACAATTACACAGTGGAAAGGGGCAGAGATATGGGAAGTGGACAGGAGTTCCAAATACACTCCCACCCTTCCACTCCCCATACCATCTGTCTGTGTATCTGCCCTGCTGTTACTCCTACACCAGCCAGGGAAGCTGAGTAGGTATCCTCAGATACTAATGGGTTAGGAGTGCTCTGACTGTTAAATAAGGATTCAAACTGTAAAGGGGTAGTCTTTTGTTGTGGTTCAACCCAGCAAGCAGCTAAACATCACACAGTCCTCTTGTCCCTCAATGGGGTGGAAGAGAGAATTGGAAAAAACAAACAACAAAAAAAACCAAACAAACAAAAAAAAAAAAACAGCAAAACAAAAAACTAATTAGAACTCTGGTTGACATAAAACCTGTTCAGTAAGACAGAACAGGAAGAAGAAAAAAATATAATAGTGATGCTATGTATTTTATACAAAAGAAGATGCAGAAGCAATTGCTTACCAGTTACCCACCAATGCCCTCAGCCGTACCCTAATCAGCTGTTGCCTGCCCAGTCAACTTCTTGGTCATTTTGTAAGGTTTTTTTGGTTGGTTGGTTTTGCTTTTTTTTTTTTTTTTTTTTTGTGATATTATATAGTATGGGATGTCTCTTTGGCCAGCTTAGGTCACCTGTCTCAGTTCTGTCCCCTCTCAGCACCTTGTGCACTTCCAGTCCCTCACAGGTAATAGGAGAAGCTGGGAAACTGAAATGTCCTTGGCTCTGTGCAGTGCTGCTCAGCAAAAACTAGAAACGCTGTGTTATCAACATTGTTTTTCTTCTGAAGCCAAAATGTAGCATCATACTAAGAAAGAAAAATCAGCTTTGCCCAGCTGAATCCAGGGCATCTTTGAATGTCTTGATTTGGCATCAGCAATTGGTTTTTTTTTTTTTTAAGACTTTTCCTTTGTGGGGGGGAGCATTTCTGGAGGCTTGGCAGTCTTTTTGTTCCATAACCCCTAATTTCTACATTAACAATTCAACCTTCAAAGCAACACAGTGCCATTATGTTTCTAAAACACCTTTATGTTCTATGGTGTTAGCAATGACATGTAAATATCTCTCTTTCTGCAGTCTGTACAAGGCTCTCAGCCATCATCTGTAGGAGTAACAAAGATAAACACAGAAAATGTACGTATGTTTGTAAAAGAATGAATGAGTCTCCCTGTTGTCTGATAAGTTACTTAACGTTTTCTGTTTTGTTTTGTAGGGGGAAATGCCAGATGGTTTGCAATTTGTAAGTATCTCATGTAGACTTAGGCATGTGAGGAGTAAAAATGAACAAAACCCTTGATTGTTCAAGGGGAAAAAAAAAATCACAGAACAAGGGATTGAGAATCACCTGGGAAATGCTCATCAGTGAGGTTTTAGAGCAATTCACTTTGTTAGTACTAGTAAATACGAAGCTATTTGGTAAACCATGCAGAAAACCCAAAGAACAACCATACCAAACATGGTATTCGTAGCCCTAAGTAGAGGAATAAACTGTAGAGTGCCTTAAACTTTTAAAGAAAGGATCAAGTCATACCAAAACCTTTGTTCAAATAAACATGCTTAGTTTCTTCACATTAGTGATTACTGCAGAACAACTTGTGTTTAAAAATATTTTGCAGTCCTACCAAGTCAGATGAACTTACGTTAATATGTGCATCTCAGGACTTCTCTTGTTACATATCCCTCCTAGTGACTGATCTGTGCTTACCCTGGATATGCCTCAGGTGGCTGGATGGTAAGCATTGCAGCTTAGGGTTGGTTTTAGCTAGCACCCAGCTGGCAAGGAGCATAGGCAGAGTGAGTGCTCATCTTTTTGCAAACAATTGTACAGGAGGATAGCATGCAGGCTAGAGTAAAAACCACATTCAAAATGAAAAGGGATTGGAAGTCAGCGATAGATACAAATAGAATTATGGAGAAAGTAGATTTGCAGGCAGTGCTTTAGTTGCTTTGTTGATTAACAGTGCCTTCCTTAGTATTCTTAAACCAAATTCTAGGCAATGTTGTTATTTGCAAGTGGTGGACTTGAAAGAAGAAAAACACCAAGTACTTATTTTATTTTTGCCGTTCATTCCTTTTCCCTCTTATAGCACAGTGGAAAAGTTGGAAGGGGGGGAGTGAGCATTGTTTTGTTTGTCTTTGCGTAACTTCATTGCTGTAGTGTTAATATCCTGGAATGTATCAATGGGAGTAGCTTTAGCTGTGAGCACAGATGTGAAACTGTAGGCTGGACTTTTTCCTCCTGAGTAAAACTCAGCATGTATGTTAAAAAAGTCTTATTTTCACTGGTGCTCTATTTCCAGGGAGTTCCTTATGTTGGGAAACTTGTTTCTGCGCTTCATCCAGGATGCACAGTTGCTATTAAAGGAGAAGTGAATAAAAACCCCAAGAGGTAAATCTTAGTGATTTTTCTGTTGTTAACTGACCTGCTCTTGAGAAGGAATAAGCTTTTCTATTGCCTTTGTATATCCTTATTGACTTGCCATTTTGCATCTGAAATCATTTGAAACTACAGTGCAGTTTTCTCAGGAACCTGCAGGATGCTGCTTTAGAAAAGACTTAACAGCTCCACTGAGGAAAAGTGTAGGTAAAATCTGATTGTCTTTCCTGCTCAACTTGCATCATTTATGAGGTTCTGTGTCTGTTCTAATTTTCCATTGTACAAGGCATGTGAGCACACATGCAGTACAAAGACAGCTTTTATTCTTCAGAGATCTGAGAGTGGGGAGAGTGTCAAAATTGGACAAAAATTGAATGACTGAAATGAGTTGCTAACGTGCACGTTATAAGATTTCTCTGAATACTTTTTGTTGACCTTGGGGATGAGAGATGGAAGGTGCCTAGCTGACAACAATTCATTGTAAAAGCTGATAGGGAAGTATGAGTTATCATTTTGATAGGAAATGAGAAACAACAGATTGCAAAGATGTTACTTTCCCATGTAATTCAAAGAAAGAAAAGGGAGCGCAATGTGGTCAAAATAAAGGTGAGGAAATGGCACACTGAAGCATGGACTTTCACTTTAAAGGTGGTTTGGGCTCTGTAGAAACATGCCTAAAAATGAAGCACTAAGTGCAAATGACAAGGAATATGCTTTTTTGCTTTGTGTATGCATCCCACTTCTGCTTCCTCAGAACATCTGTCACCTTTCCTGCAGCTGTATGGCCCTAGCAGTTTACCTTATTACTGGGACACAAGATCTAGAGATCTCATCTGCAAGTCTGAATGGACTTGGAATTGAATAGGAGAATAGATACTGACATAGAAGCATTTGTTCTTCTTTTGGCTTGAAAAGCTTATTGGCACATTTTAAATGCTGTCTTATATGTGTAAAGAGGCTGTTGGGAGTTAAAGTATTGTTGGGTTGTCTGCTCTTTGCATTCATGCTTTAGATGTGTAGATTTTTACAGTATTTTTAAGCTATTTAATGCCTTTCACTCAAGTCACACAACCGTAAGCATTCCTTGTTCTCTGTGAAAGAGAGGACTTGATAGCTCCAAAGTGTGGCAGTTGCTACGTTTCATATCTATACTAAGTGGCTCAAGGCTTTCCAAAAGGAGGAAAATGACCTGACTGTTGGAGTTAATTTGGTGAGAGGAATATTCTTCAAATGCAGTGAAGTCAATGCAGCATGTTGAAGCATTTCTTTGACATATTGGTTGTTTTTTTCCCCCTGGCCCCTCCTCTCCTGAGCTATCCTCACAAGGAGCCTTTTGCTGTGGAAATCATGTCAGATTGCAGGATGTTTTGGTCAGCCTGGGCAGAGCTACTCTGTCTACAGAGTAATGCTTTGTATGCATGCTGTCCCACTGATGTTGCACATGCAGAGAGTCCTCAAACTTTTTCTTAGAGTCCATCCAGTTTGTTGGAAGTACAAGTAGAATGTCTTTAGGTAAAAGAAAGCCTCCCACTCTCCATTGCACAAGTATATGGAGGAGAGATAGTGGAACAAGTGGCACAGTGTGTTTCTGCCTAGTGCTGTAGGGACAGCACTTGGCTCAGAATCTCTTTGCTGAGAGATGAGCAGAAAGCTGTGAGCGATGAAGCAGATGGAGCAGAGCTATGGTCCTATATCTGTTTCTTTAGCAAAGGTTGTGCCAAAGACAACCTGGTTGGTTCTTAGGTGGATTGCAGCCCTGGCTCCAGAGCAGACCTGAGTATTGCCTAAGGGCTTGGTAAATAGCAAGGACTGCTTCATGTTTATTAATTCTTGGTCTAATAAACTTATTTTTAAAAATGCCTTCCAGCTTTACAATAAACCTGAAATCAAGTGACTCAAAAGACATTGCATTACATCTGAATCCCCGACTGAAGAATAAAATCTTTGTAAGAAATTCTTACCTTCATGACAGTTGGGGAGAAGAAGAAAAGGAAATTGCTAATTTCCCTTTCAGTCCAGGGATGTACTTTGAGGTAAGGTTAACTGAAATGCAGTGTTAGAGTTGTAATTTTGCTAAAAGAACAGTAGCACTGGTGTATAAATGCCATGCTAATGCAGATTGGAATGAAACTGCTATTCTTGCATTTCAGATGCCTTAATGTTAGGATTTAATAGGATTGTGGGAAGCAAAGATTTGAGTTTGTTTTAATGACAGCCATTTCCTTGTGTTTTCTTCTATATAATTGCAAGAATTCAGTGCATGCTCAGGATGAAGTTTTAATTTAATGTTATTCATGTTTCACTTTTTGTTTCTTTTGCACGAAAGTAATATATCAGAATTTATATCAGAAGCAGGACTTGCCCAACTCCACGGTAGAGTGTCAGCTAGTTTTTTATGTCTTAACTGAACTGTTCTTTCTTTTCAGCTGATCATTTTCTGTGATGCCCACCAGTTCAAAGTTGCTGTCAATGGTGTTCACACCCTGGAGTACAAGCATCGTTTTAAACAACTTGAAAAGATCAACCTACTGGAAGTCATAGGAGATGTTCAGTTATTAGATGTGAGGAGCTGGTAGTTCATTTCAGTCAGTACTAAATGAATTAAACCCCATTCTTACAACAGTTCTTCTGTCAGATACAAACAAACCAACTCATGCTGAGCCTGCCTTTATCCAGGCTTCTGTGTCAGTCTGAGTTAGGCGAGTACAGAACTGCTGTGAGATTAAATCCTCCACTAGTTTCCAGTATCCTGGCAAGATAAATGTCTGCTCAGATAAATCACCTGCATTACTGAACCTAGCAATATGAAATGGTGCATCGTACTGTGTCTTAACAATTGTGCTCAGTATGATTAACTATGACTAGTCATTCCTTAACAGTGTGCATTCAAAGTGAAGTAGAAATTAGACTGAAATAGAATATGAAGATATGCCTATCCTGAAAGGGTGATTATAAAATATATCCTGCTTGATTTATATTAGTGATTATAACTTTTTTGCCATGACTGGTTTTAAAAGAAGCTGACTCATCAGCTCTCATGGAAGGCAAGGAGGTATGTGATCAACTTCTTAGCCTGCTGCTGCAATAGTACCTTCTCTGACTCCTCAGTATGTCATCTCCTGCTTGTAAGTGGCTTAAATCAAATGCAGATCAGCATTTCTAGCTTACAGTTTTCCAAAGTGAAACAAATGAAAATAATTTAGCTGGTTCTAATGTATGGACTTTGGAATGCTTGTTTGATCAGAAATGGCTCCCAGCTGTGCTGAGATTGCTCAGGGACTAAAGTAGATGTGTCTGTTTTTCACTGTAAAATGTATGAACCTACATACCCTGAGTTGAGACTCAGATTCTCATCAGTAGAACAGAGAACAAATCCTTTTGGAGTCTTGCATTAAAACGCTAGTTAAAAAAAGCAGTTCCTACTCAATGAGTTTTCCTTACTGTCAGTCTTAATTTTTATATATGCTTATTTCTAAAAATAAGTAAGTTGCTGCTGGCTGTCAGTGCTTGCCTGAGGGTTGTTTCTATTTATTTTAACAGCTACTGAAGGAGTGAAAATTTTGAGAATAAAATGTACCTGAAAAGCTGTTAAACTACTACATTAAGTGTACAAAAAGCATAAATAAAAATAACATTTGTGAACTATCCTTTTCTCCAAATGTAGTTAAATAGTTACAATCCCTCTTTGGCTTGTTTTGTGTCATTTTGCTTACTGACTTATCCTTTTCTCCAAGGGGGCCCTGACTTGAGGCCCATTTCCACTCCGAGTTACAGATCTGCAGAGCAGTCACTGTGAGTAGGCCTGCATCTTAGCTGTGCCACACGTGGCCTGGCCTTCATGTGTGCTGTCCTCTAAGGATAAACTGAGCTGGCTGACTGGAACAGAGAAGCCTGTAGGCAGCTCCCACTTGGTAAGGGCTGCTATACCACCTGTACATTTTTGTCTTTATCTTTCTAAAAGTTGTGAAATGTTCTCATGTGAACATCGGCATGAGTAGAATTGCTTTCTTTCAGGACTTTCTTGTAGCTTTTTGTTCAGAATCTTCAGTGGGTTCATTTTTTACTTTGTAAAAATAACACAAATGTACATTATCAGAATTGCAGGGTATGTGTTCAGTGATTACTGATGTAGCAGGATGGCCCTGACATACAGCAAGTGCAGATCCCAGCCACAGGATATTCACAGACAGTCCCACATGTTGTCTGTCAGTGAATGGTATCTGTCTATAGCTTACTCTGGTTTCCTAATGTTAAGGGAAGTCATCTGATGACAAAAAAGTGAACCCTAGATCATCCAGAAGTGATAAAGCCATGTTCTTATGATATTTTTTATTAAAAAGTTAAGATCTTAGATCAGATAAAAATCACTACAACAACTTGTCTGTAACACAGGGCACATGTGAAGTTAACACAATTCAGACAAAGTATAAAAACAAGAGGGATAAATTTAGAAGTAGCTTTGGAGCGGTTCTCCCAAAATGACTTCCAATTGCTGAATTGTTTTCTGACACTGCTGTTCAACTTCTTCACATTCATCTAGAAAAAGAAATAAGGCAGGGAATAAATGGAAGAGTGATTACAAAGCTACCCTAGGAAGAACTCATCCCTCAAGGTTTGAAACAGTCTTCAAACACCAGGTCTGAAATTGTTCAGAAGTATTTTGTCATTACCTCAGGAGGTAGGCAATTCATTTGTACTGTAACAGTGATCTAAAATATGCAACCTGGGAGGCTCTAACTGAGGAAGTGACAGTAATTTAGCTAACTGAAATTTAGGAAGGGGGTGGATATGACCCATTCCAGTTTGCAACCTGCATAGTTGAAGTGACAGTATACTAATGCATGTAACTTACAGCAACTACAGCAGTTATCTTGTCTGAATCTTTGAATTATATGGACTGTATTTGTTTTGGTCACAGGCCAGTTGCCTGCCTTCACTAAGGTCATTTTAAAATATTACCTTCCATAAGCTCAGCTAAAAATGGAATAGATTCTGGTAGCAGGACCAGGTAGTTCTCCTTCAGTTTTTCTGCAAGTTCGAGCAAAGCAAGCAGAGCAGCAAATCGGACCTAAAACAAAACAATCTGTGTGAGGAAACAAACATCTCTGACTTCTTTCCATCTTCTGAAAGCATACCTAGCTTTTAAATAAACTTTTCCCAACTGAAGGAAACTATTCTAAGCTAACTTAAATCTCAGCAACTGGATTAAAGTATTATACAAGGAAAATGGTGCAAGAGGCAGCTATGCTTCTTAGCTGACAAAAGTCTTCAACTTCCCTTTACAATGCCACTTTTTCACAATTTTCCACTGTTTCACAATGTCTTAACTTAGCACAAGGTTAAAAACCTTGTTTTTAGTCATTCCCCATGATATAACCAGTCAAACAGGCAGGTCATGCCAAACCTTTATAAAAAAGAAAACAGCTCTGATGTTACTTAAATAACTATCTTCCATTTTCCCCTCTGAAGTACCTTTTTTTCCTTATAGATGGAAAATGGAAAAAAATGTTTTAAAATACAGCCATTGAAAAGACGACGAATTAAGAAACATGTAAACGCAGCAGAGGCTTAATTACAAGTTGCACTGCTTGGTTTAGTACTTGCCTGCTCCCCCCTACCTGAAGCTGCCTAGGAGAGAGGGAATGATCCAAGTAATGAGGTTAGTTCTTATTCAAACAGCTACCAAGTAAAATGAACAACACTCTCCTACCCACACAAGCCAACTATACTGAAGATCTTCAATAAGACTAAGAGTAGAAGCCTAAGTTGTGTACATCTCTGGAATTTGGTGGTAGCATAGTAGTGATTTGGCTAACCCACTTGTTTTTGGGGGACACTTAACATTTTGTAATGCAACAGAGAAAAATACTTTCTGATAGCTCCCAACCTTAGAAGAAGCGTGCCTCATTTTCAGCAGGATGTGGTAATTCAGTGGTTTCCAAAGAGAATCATCTGCCATTGCTACTGAGAACTGAGCTATGCAGGGTACCAGGTGTGCTGTCACTCTTTCCTGGAACTCCTCATCTCCTCCAAGCATGTTCTCCAGCTGTGGAAGTAAGATGTTTGTCATAGAGCTCCAGGCTCAGATAAATCTAGCTCAAAGTACTTCTAGCATAGGCTTTCAAGTACTGAAGGGATGGGTCAAAGAGTGTACAGCAGTAGGAATGTGCTGAACAACATGCATAAACTTTGAGGACTGAAAAAGTTCAGAAAGGGGATAAAAGAATTAGTAATCCAAAGCTTTAAGTGTAACAATATCAGCAGTAGCTGAAAGGCAATGAATGTTTTCTGACACTGCTGTGTCAGAAAACTTCTTTTGTGTGAAGGGGGAGAATTGAAGCCTGAGAGGTGGCTGTTGGTTTTATGGTTTTTTTTTTTTTTTAAATCCTTCAGACAGAAAACAAATTGCTCTTCTGAGTTTGTAAATACCTGATCAACGAGAGGCATCATCAAGGTTTCTGCTCTTTCCTTACTCAGGAACTTCTGAGTATCAAACAAGAACAGCTTATGCAGACAGTCCAGGGTGAACTGTAGCAGCAAACAGCTCTTCTCAGTGCTGTTTTCGGAGTCAAAGAAAGCTTCATCTGTGTATCAACAGAGGAGCAGAAAAAGAAAAGTCACAAAAAGGAGAAATGTATAAGCTAGAAATACTGTGAGTTGTAAACACAGCTAAATGTTGTACAATATAGCAATTATGTAGTCCCCACTTACAGTAATGAAAGTGGATGCAGTATATTATCTGGCCTTTAGTTAATTCCCTAGTAGGTCTGTTTTGCAATGCACAACCAGCTGGTTGATAAAAGGAAATACTCAGAGGCTACAGGAAAACTTCATGGCTGTACCTGTAACTATGGAGAATTTATGTAGGTTACTACCAACAGGATAAGGAAACAGTTCCCCATACCAAAAAAAAGTGTGGTATCGATTTCTGCTAGTAGGTAGAAGAGTCTAGGTGCAACAAGTAACAGTAGGCTGGCACATCAAGTGAACAAATGGAAAAAACAAACAAACAGAAGGAAGGGCAAGTGCCAGAAGCAAGTCACCCTCTTTCTACTCAGTTTCATTCTCATGGAACTCACTGGGACTGACACTGAAAGTTTTCCTGTGTTTCAACTTTGTAACTGGCAGCCCAGAGGCTGTCACAATACAAAAGATGCTTCATTTATGAGAGAAAGAGAAAATAAGTGAAAGGTAAGTGCTGTGAAGTTAATTTCAACAGTTGTCTGTCGGTGCTTCTCTGTAGACAGTAACTGAAGACTTACCAGTTTTAGAAACATTGAGCTGGTTCAGCGTCTCAGCAAATGGCTTCACTAAGTGACCAGCAAACAGGGTAAAGAGACCCTTGAGCTTGTCTGCAATGCAGTCTGCTAACCGGTGGAATGTCAGCAGTCTGTCCTTTAGGGCACTTTCAGTTTTGGACCAGTCAAAAAGCTGAAAGTGAATGGCAGGTTAGCTCATTCCTGTATTTGTGTGCTGGAGAATACAAAGGTGCTGATACTGACCATATTTAAGCTCCTTACCTTGAAGAAAAGGGGTCTAAAAGATGCCTCAGAAAGTTTCATAACCATACTTATTAGACAATCAATAATGTACATCTCTGTTCTACCAACTTCATCCAAATCATCCTAGAAAAATTAGAAAGCACAATTCCAAGTCTGAAATTTGAGAATGAGAGCTTCCAAAACATTTTTCAACTCAGGCAAAATACCTACACACACTCTCTACCCTCAAGAATAATTTCAGAACACAGTATTTACAGCTCTAAAAAAAAAAAAAACCCAACAGAATTGGCACATATAAGCTGAGCTGCCTCTGTTCATTTCCCTAACCAAGCTACCTGGGCATGATCTGTTCGGTAATCCAGGGCTTTCATGAAAAATGCTGTCAGCTCTGTCTGATGGGATATTAGGTGCTCCTTCTCCATCACAATGATGTGCTCCTTCAGAACATTCATAAGAGGACCCAGGCAGTTCTGCTGAAACAAAAGCAAGGCAAAGACAAATGTCACACTGACACAAGAAACAAAAATAAGGTGATCCGATTTTGCACTGCTTGTGTTTACTCATGAGAATACTAACAATAAAATCGTTGTTTACTGTACTGTTTTGGGGGAGCAGTTAAATTAGTAATACTTCTGAAGAGAATCTGCTCTCCCTACTCCCTCCCTGGAGATACACCAGTCAAGTTTGAAAGGGTTGCACCTACAGAAACAGCAGCAAAGCTTAAATGAAAGCGACTCCTAATTCATGTTCAAGGCATTTACAAATGGGATTATCTCTGATGCATTAATCATTTAACAAGAGAGTTTTTCAAAAGGAAGCCATTTCTTGGGACTGCCTGGACATCCATCTTGCCTGTGCAAATGACTGCTTTTGCACCGCTTGTTTCTTTTACACTAGTTAAACTGTCTTTAAATCAACCCATTTTTTCCCCCACTCTTTTGCTCTGCCAGTTCTCTTCCCCACCCCCACCATAGGCAAAGGTGAGCAAGTTACAGTTAGTTGCAATGTGAAATAATGAAAAAATTCTCACCTTCCTGGTATTCGCCACTTCACTGTAACACTTAGTAACTGCAGGCAGGAGTATTCTGGGAGCAAGCTTTGTAGCTAGGATAGTTTTCAATGATGTTACACGTAAGCTTAGCT